AGATGTGTGCGTGTACACACACCACACACACACACACACATACATATTGCTAGCTGTGACTAGAGAGTCCCATTGCTAATTTAATTTCTCTTATTTGTCCCCTTTTGCTTCCTTGAAATTCTTGAGTTCCTTTGTATTTCCATATTTGGTTTAAGCTCTTAGAATGAAGGAAACTCTGGGGTTCCCCTCTGAATCGTGTTGTAACATAGGTGCGTTGCTTGGGGAAGGGGCCATTTTAATCTTTATTTTTAAAATCTCTTTTTCCACAATATTTTGTGATTCACCTGTCCTTTATAAAGAAAAGGACCTTGGGGGCCCCTACTTTCTTCCTCTGTAGGAAGAAAGGTTTTAATTCTTTCATCTCCAAATTAAGTCCTAGCTTATACCACCAAAGTAGAAACTGACCTTGTTTGAGAGTCAGCCCCTGAAGCCAGATTTTTACAGATTGATAAGAATCACTGTGGTAGTATAATCATAATTGTGTTATCTTTCCCCCTTGACACAAGACACTTAGAGTAATAAGCATTTATTAAATGCCTACTGTGTGCAAAGCTGCAGATAAAAAGCCAAAACAGACCCATATCTCTAAGAATTTATACTCTACTTGACTTGAAGGTCCTGGGTACTTAGGTGGGGGTGGGGAGATAATACAGAAAAAAGAAGAGGTTGGAATTAGGACAAATCTGTCCTATTGTATACCATTTTGCTTAATACTGGCTCTACTGGAGGGATTTCTCATAGTTTTTTCTTTTGGTTGAGTGGACAAGGCTGGAATTTGTTCTGTGAAGTTTGGATTCAGTGAAAGAGCTACACTTGAGGACCTAGAGGGCCACATGTGGCCTTGAGGCCGGCCGCAGGTTCCCCACCACTAGTACAGAGATTGCTGGATTTAGAGTCAGATTTTAGAGACAGCTTAAATTGTAAACAGCTGTGAAGAGTTTCATACTTAATTACCATATTTGAGTTTTGCCATAAAGTGTTCACATTTCCATCAAAAATGTAAATGCCAGAGACATTCAAATGAGATTTTATACTTCATGAAGTTTAATTGGCACAAATCACTCAGCGTGTTGGGATTTTCAATGTTAAAAACAAAACAAAACAAAAAAAAAACCATGTTTATTTCTTTTTTTTAAAAAAGACAATAGGCGACAATTCATATCTCAATTAAATCATGTTGTTTTGGGGAATAGACCTTGGGGAATGGAGGGAAGGCTCAGGAAGGGTAGGGAGAAAAGCGAAGATGGATGTCTGAGCTAACTCTGCCCCCACGCCCTGCAAGAAGGGGATGGGGGATGGAGAGTTAGGCTGAGACTTTCTGCCCAGGCCCAGGGTTCAAATTCTGAGTGTTACTTATGTATTTTTGTAAACATGTGTGACCTTGAGCAAATTTGTCCTTATTCAACCTCTTCTTTTTAGTACCCTCCCATCAAGCGAAATATAAGCTCTTTGAGGTCAGGGGCTGTCTTCTGTCTCCAGCCTTGTGCAGAGTACACACTGAACAATTGTTGCTGAATTTCATTCAATTATTACAGAGTCTCTCTTTATGGGGGAAAAATGCTAACAGGCATTAATGTTAAGACAGCTTAATACATTATTCCTCTCGTGAATATTTTCAATTTTAAAGGGAACCTTGGGCAAAGAGCAGTGGGTAATTCAGCAATAACTCTCTAATGGTATAATTTCCATTTCTGAATGACCTGGGTTAAAGAGAGAAGTTTGGGGATAAAGGAGACTTTCTCTTAATAACACTAGCCTTCTTTCTTACTTATTTGGACAGCCCTCGATGGGCATTAGAGGTATGATATACTTAATGCAGCCATACCCATTAAAAATGGCCTTTAGCTATCTTTGCTGAGGTACGAGCAAGACAAATGGAGAAGTAGATGTGAATCTCTTTGTATTTGCATCATTTTTCGCATCCTCAATGAGTTTATTCATTAATGACCCCTTTGGAGCATGTGTTACTCAAACTAAATTGGAAGTGCCTATTTGGGCTTTTTAATTCCGTTTCAGTGGAGTAGAGGTTTACTTACTGGATGCAGAACTGGGCTAGGTAGGAGGCCCTGCAGAAGATACAAGGTTTAGATAGACATGCGCCCTGTTCCTAGTGAGCTTGCAGGTGGAAAGGGCAGTCCACAAAGTAATATATGAGAGGTGTGAAGTCTGAGGGAGAAAGGTCATTGCTGCGAGGGGGAAGTGGGGAAAGGCACCATGCAAGAGGAGGGACATTTGAGTGGCCTTTAAGGGATGGGTTGGAATGAAGTGGGGAAGTGGGAGGGAGGGTGTTCCCAGTGTAGGTACCTGCAGAAGCAGGACAATGGGGCACGTGCAGAGGCCAGCTGCTTGTGCAAGTTGTGTTGGAATGTAGGAAACCTGGAAGGGTGGCAGATGAGAGAGTGCTGGAAAGGAGAAGAGGGGATTTTGTTATACACATCTGTCAATTCTGTCTTTCCTGTGTCTCCAGGTCTACCGATACTTTCCTGGATTTGATTGGTTCTTCCTCGACCCCATAACTAGCAGTGGGATTAAATTTGCAAATGATGAAAAGTAAGTGGCCATTCTTTCTTCTGAAGTTTTCTTTTCTTCAGTGTGTCTTCTGGGCAAAGGAGGTGTGTTGGGAGGCAAGCTGAAGTATCTGGTTTTTTTACTGCCAACTGAATAATAAGGCTGTTGGTTACCAGGCAGAAGCCCCAACTTTTCACATGCTCTGGGTCTGTAATGGGAGTGTTTTAAAATCTCAGTATATTTTGCATTCCAGGTGGGTCCGTGGAGTGTCACCAAATCTTTCCTTTTTTTTTTTTCCTATTCCAGAATTCACATTTTAGTATGACTAATAAACTCACAGATGTGTGCCTTAAAGAATGAGAGGGGGATTACAAATGTCTTTTGTGCAGCTAGGTAGTGTAGTGGATGAGTGCCAGGCCTGGAGTCAGGAAGACTCATCCTTCTGAGTTCAAATCTGGCCTCATACACTTACTACCCATGTGACCCTTGGCAAGTCACTTTGCCCAGTCTGCCTCAGTTTCCTCATCTGTAAAATGAGCTGGAGAAGGAAATGGCAAACCATTCCAGCAAATGGGGTCATGAAGAGTTGGACATGACTGAAAAATAATTGAACAACAACAAACAGCTCCTTACACAGTAGCAGAGGCAAAGAGGGCTGGGCTTAGATGGGGGGGGGGAGAAAGACCCTGGGTTCTGATCCCACCTCTGACACTTCCCAGCTGTGTGGTTCTGTCAAGTTATTTAACCTCATTGTCCCATGGGCACTTCCTATTTTACTGCTAAGGCATAGACATTTGGATCTGTGCATTCCCAGAAAACAGTAGGTGTATGTAAATGAATTTACTTAAATTTTCAAAGTGTACAAGGTGTGCCTTGATTTGAATGAACCTGAGCTTTCAAAGTCCCAGTTTGGTCCTGAAGCCACCTTAGAGAATGAACCCAGTACCTAGTTTATTGCATTGCACACAGTAGGAGCTTAATAAATATTTGTTGAATTGAAAGTGAATCACCATTCAGAAAAGAGACAAATTACATGATTCTTCACATTTATGAAAGGCGTCATAAGAGAATTCTTTTAAATACCAATCTCCCCTCATGCCTTCTAAAGGGTTTATTTATATACTTTATAGTAGTCTATTTACACAGTATTTTTGAGGACCACATCTATTTTTAAAAAGAGGAGGCTTGCAGTAAATATCCATATTTTATTTCTTAAAAAAAAATTGTAGGGACTGATTTTGGTGAAGATTTTTGACACGATGATAAAGAGCACAAACCACTCAGCAAAGGTAGAAATTTCTTATTTGAAAGAGGACATAATAAAATAATATTGAATATATATGTAATCAATTTGCTTCGCAACCATATCCATTTAAATGAAATTCAATCCATAAAATGCCCTAACTACTTTTTAGTTAGTCCCACTGTCTACATCAGTACTTCTGTCTATTTATTTCCATTCACTTTCCTTTCGCATGGTCATAATTGTTGTTTATTCTGTTTTTTCTGGCTCTGCATTATTCCATAAAGTTCTTTCCATGTTTCCTTTTAACACATATACTTGCCAATCTTAATGACATTGTAGTATTGTATTACATTAATGTGCCAAATGTTATCCAGCCATTTCCCCTTTTGTTGGACATTTAAGTTGCTTACCATTTGTTGCAATTATATGTAGTTCCACTGTGATCTGAGAGTGGATAGCTCTTTGTTGTTGTTGTTTTTTGATAATATTTTGAAGGTATATTAACTTAGACTTTCTTTATCAAACTTATGAAATCTATTTCATGTTCTCTTAAAAAAAAGAGATTTAACAAACACTACAATGTAGACCCCAATAGCATTATTGAAACCAAAATGTCAAAATTCTCCTTCACAAAGAGCCAAATACTTATAAGAGTGAAACTTTCCTTGTCCTTTCCCTGTCTGGGTCACTAGGGGCTAGAATGCTTTCTTGTTTTAGTATCTATAACTTTGCTGTTGTTCTCATTTCAGTGTGAAATACATATCATGCTCCTTGCTTATTCTTCATGCTGAAGATGACCCCATCGTGCCATTCCATCTAGGAAGAAAGGTATGTGGGCCTGGTTGGTAGGTTGGGAGAGGGTAAAACAGGCGGGTTATTTGAAAGAATATGGGTCCCTCAGGTAGTCAATAAAGTTACCTTTGCTACTTATTGATAAAGAGTGGAGAAGATCAATGGATCCTGGGTTTAAAAGCTAGAAGGGTCTTAGAGGGCATCGAGTCCAAGCCTGTTGTTTTTCAGGTGAGGAAACTGGTGCAGGAGTGTTCAGCGACTTGTCCAGGGTCTCAGATGTAGCATTTGAACCTACATCCTCTGACTCCAGAGTCAGGACTCTTTCCCTGTACTGCCTAGTTTCAAGGGACCATTGTATAAATGATGATGTGCTTTAAGCTACCGAAATTAGAAGTTGGGTTGCTCTACTGTAGTTGCTATGCCAGTGAGCAGATTCTTTTTTTTTTTTCCTTTTTGGTGAGGCAGTCAGGGTTGAGTGACTTGCCCAGGGTCACACAGCTAGTAAGTGTCAAGTGTCTGAGGTCAGATTTAAACTCAGGTCTTCCTGATTCCAAGGCTGGAGTTCTACCCACTGCCCCACTTAGCTGCCTGAAGTGAGCAGATTCTTAAAGAAAAATGAGGCTTTAGGGGAAACTGTTTTCACTAAAATAGCAGCTATGTTTGGAATTGGTGTTGGACTGGAAATGGGCCCTACTATCTCCCCAGCAACATCCAAGAAGAAAGTGAATGGGAATAAATACAGAAAATTACTTATGTAGACTTAGTGGGAGTAACTAAAAAGTAGGTTAGAATATTTTATGGATTAAATTTAAATGGATATTGTGGCAAAGCAAATTTAATTGATCATATACATTCAATGTTATTTTACTATGTCCTTTTATAAATAAGGAATTTCTACTTTTGCTAGATGGTTTATGGACTATGGAAAAGGCTGATGATGTTAGAGTTTGATTTAAAAAATTGTATACACATATGTATCTATATATGTACATATGTATGTGTGTGTATCTATCTCTGTATCTTCAAGGAAATAATTGGCTGCTTGAGTGATGATTAAGAATAATTTAAGGGGCAGCTAGGTGGCAAAGTGGATAGAGCACCAGCCCTGGAGTCAGAAGGACATGAGTTCAAATTCGGCCTCAGGCACTTGACATTTACTAGCTATGTGTGACCCTGGGCAAGTCACTTAACCCCAATTGCCTCACCAGAAAGCAAAAAAAAAAAAAGAAAGAAAGAAAGAAAGAAAAGACTAATTTAAAAATGTTTATTTGGAGATCAGCATAACTGGTTCATCCACAAGGAAATCTAATTTTTATTACCAAAGCTGGGGCAGGCAAGAATGTAATTACAGTGCGCTATGGCAGAAGAGCTTCCCATTTGTTGGCTAGAGCTGAAGGGGGTTTAGTTTAATCTCTACTTTGTAAGTCATCCCCGATGAGGTGAGATGGACTCTCTCCTTTAATACCTCAAGCCAATGGGTGTAATTAGGGAGGATATTCTTATACGCAGGGTCTGTGCTATTATCACAAGAATGACACCTCAGAGGTTTGGTCTTATGGCTAGTTCATGATCCCTTCCTTCCTGGAGGAGAAATGTTTCTAACAGGAAAGAGTTGATTCTGAAATGGAATGGAAGAAGACAGAGCAGACGGGCATCTTCTCTAAATGTAAAGGCAAGGTGCCATAGCTCCAAATGAAGAGCAGACCTTATTATAGTGATAGCAGTCCAGCTTTGAATTCTCTAATGTTTTATCTTTCTTCCACAGTGCCCAAGGCATTTCCAAAGATCCTCTGTGGAATACTTAAGCACTCACTTCAAATGGTGCTTTGTTGGGCACTGTATGGAGCAAATTAAACAGACCAATGCTTTTTCTTTCAGCATTTAATGTAGGGGCAGACATGCTTGGGATCATAGATTTAGAGCTGGAAGGGACCTTGAAGGCTATCTAATTGGCCAAAACCCCTCATTTTATAGATGAAAAAGTGAGGCCAGTGACAAGACAAGTAACCAGCAAACACAGATTAAATACAACCACTGATATTAGAGGGGAGTTGAAACAGAATAATATCAACTGTACGCTAAAAAGAATTATTCTCCTACTCTTATGACTCTTTGGCTGGTGGGGTAACAGTGTGGAGAATCTTTTGTTACACCACAGATAGTCAAATCAACCTTTCTTATTGATCCTCAACATTTCAATGGAAGTTGAAGGCATGTTGGAGAAACTGAGTCAGATTAAAAAAAAGATTTCTTTTTAAATGCTCTTCTGAAGACATCATAGCAATTCACTAGCAGTGCTGGGAGTTTCTTGACTCCCATTTTAGTGTCCTCAGCAACAGGTTAAATTTCCTTCCCTTAACTTGATTGCTCTGTCCTTACCTGTTGGGATGTGGTGTGATGGAAAGGAGTGAGTGCTGATACATTTGGATTTGATTCTTGGCTTTACTACTTACTTAGCATGCTCTCATATTTAGAATAGGTTAGGTACCTTCCTATTTCCAAGGGAGAAAGAATTCAGAAGAATTAAGATGGTCATTCTGGGGAGTGCTTAGTACTCCCCAGAGAAACATACTTACTGTATAATTAGGAAGTTCTGTTGTTCTTAATAAAGTCATTGTTAAGAGCATTGCAGGGCCTAGGAAGATAACTCTCCACTACCTACTGTCTCTCGAACAAGTTGAGTTGCTGCGCTGTTGTGGCCTTACTCTTGTCTCATTTTCCGCTTCTCAGCTTTATAACATCGCTGCACCATCTCAGAGCTTCCGGGACTTCAAAGTCCAGTTTGTTCCATTTCATAGGGATCTTGGTTACAGACACAAGTACATATACAAGAGTCCTGAACTACCTCGGATATTGAGGTAAGAGAAAGCAATTGCAATGAGGTCTCTTCTCCATTGACTTCAGGTTGCAACCCAGCCAAGAAAGAAAACAATGGGAGCCCATCTAGCGAGAGGGCCATACCTGTTGTATGTAGTGGGGTTACTATGTTGTTTGGAACGTGATGACAATGTCATTGTCTGATTATCATATATAATAACTAAAATAACTGTAACCATAATAGATTCACATTGTTCCCTCTCTCATTTGATCCCTATGGCAGCCCTTTGAGAGAAATGGGTCAGGCATTTTTTGTCCTCATTTTACAGTTGAGCAAACTCATAACTGTAGAGATTGTGAAGTCCCTATTAAATAGAACAGCTAGTTAGTGGGACTAGAACCAAGGCCTCCTGCTTAACAATTGAGTGTGCTTTCCACTGAACTTCATCTCTGAGGATGAAAGGCATCCAAACATCGAGAACTCCCAAAGACCCTCGTGGCATGAGTGTGACATGTAATTATTTCAGGTTTTCATGGGGTATTGGGGCCTGATGATTGGGGCGAGATATCCCTGTAGTTGGTACATTTTTTCCCTCTCTTAAGTGCCTGTGTATGTTTTATCTGGCACTCAGGAAGAAGAGCAAGGAGAAATTTAATCCAAACAATTCCCAAAATGACTTATCCTTTGTGGTTTCACTCCCTCTCCTTTCCTGCTTCCCCTCTCTCCTGTCCTCTCCCTTCTTCCCTCCTGCCATCCCCTCTCTCCTCCCTTCCTCTCCTTTCCTCCCCATTTGTCTTGTTCAGTTGTGTCTGACTTGATGTGACCCTGTGGGCTGTACTGTCCATGGGGTTTTCTTGGTTTGCCATTTTCTCCTCCAACAGATTGAGGCAAATGGGGGTTAAGTGACTTGCTCAGAGTCACACAGCTTGTAAGTGTCTGAGATTGGATTTGAACTCGGGTTTTCTTGATTCCAGGCCCAGTACTCTATCCACTGAACCATCTAGCTACTTCCTCCACATGTAAGGTTTCTAGTTTCTTTCTCAACCCTTACAAGGTGTGCCTTTCTGCCCACATTGCCCTTTCCCTCTTTGGCTCTCTTTGCCAGCCTTTCCTGCTGGCTTCAGGCCATTTCCTGAAGTGTGATGCTCCCCTCTGACCACATTCCTGTGCCATTGGGGCAGACTTGTCCACTCAGTGTGCTGGCCCTCAGTACCAGGTACAGAAGTTCACTTCTGAGGTTGGAATGTAGATCAAGAGAAATGCTGAGCCATCAGTGAGAAAGAGCAGAACAGAATCTTATCAACCCAAGCAGGGACCTCTAGAACTGATTCAGGCTGCAGGGCTGGTAGAGAAGGGGGCTGGGCCTTTGAAGCCCTGGCAAAGGGACCAAAGACAAGTCTCAGGTGCCTTGTCTTGGCCCAGAAGCCTCACCTTTCTTATGCCTATCCTGGGAGCCTTTGATAGTTTTTTCAGCTGCTCTGATTTGACTTTTGAAATGACTTGTTTTGTTTGGGTCCCCACAAGAGAAAGAGCTAACAGTGGAGGTTGGTACCTTTTTAAAGCAACTTCATGCTCTGGAACAACTCGAAAATGGAAATGAAATTTCCTCTTCCCCTAGTTCCCTTCACCAACTTACCAGGAAGCTTTGAAACACAGGTCATTTGACCCACAGGCCTTTATGGTTTAACTTTTCCTGGAACTTGTTTCCAGAAGAGGTGGAACATCCTGGGCTTGAATTTTATTTAAAGCTTAAACTAGTTCAGTAAGGAGTCTGAAGATTTCAGAAGTCAAAGTAATTTCTTCTGGAAGTCTGGATTTCTTTGTTAGCTGTCATCCAGCCCCACATGATGTTATTTATGGAGGCATACACTGAAAATCGAAGAGAGGAAGCATTGAAAAGCTCCTGCTGTGTGCTAGGCACTGTGCTAAGGACCCTATGAGCTGGGTGTGCTATTATTACCATCATTTTACAGTTGAGGAAGCAGGAAAGCAGAGTTTAAGTGACTTGGCCAGGGTCTCACAGCTAGCAAGTGTCTGAGGCCAGACATTTGAACTTAGCCCTTCCTGACTCCAGGCCAGCACTCTTCTCTGCTTAGTCACCAGCTACCTTTTGTCCGGTTGGCACCTGAACTCGATTGCCTTGTATTTGTCTCACAAACTGATTATTTTCCTTTCGTCTAGGGAATTCCTGGGAAAATCAGACCATGAGCATCATCACGAGCTACGTCACTGAGGACTGGCTGTGTGAAAGCATGAAGATCTCTTCCCCCATCCTTTTCTTTTCCTTTGGATCAGTCCACAGTCCTGGAAACCGTCAGCAGCAGATGAGTCTAGCACTCCAGCATCCACATTGCTCAGGAACCCTGGCTTGTCATCAAGCTTGCCTGTGGAGGGGACTCAAAATGATATTAGTTGGTTTGTGTGGCCCTGGTAGGAGTGGGAGGAAGCTTATACAGAGCAACTCAATGTGACCCCGATGGACCCAAGGATCCAACCAAGTGGCTGAAAATAGGAACCTTTCTTGGAAATGTAGAGTGGTTGGATGGCGTGGTTTCTCTCCACCCCACAACTTGAGCTTTCTGTTAAGCATAAGTTGGCCATGGTGAACCTGCCATAACTTGGTTGATCCTACTTCTGTCTTGCTTTTTGGTGGATATTTTTTTTTTTTGATGATGGAGACTTTGTTCCCTACTCACTTCTTCTACAAGTTTAACTGTTAACTCAAGAAGGTGAAAGGGACTCTTGCTGTCTCAAAACAAGGACTTCAACCTCTTAACTAAAGGAAGTGGTAGGAGGAGACCTGAAAATGAAGGATTTATTTGCGGTTCTTCCTATCTCTCCCTGGTACACCCATAATGAACTTTGGATGGTTTATTATTATTTCTCACCCTAGGCTTACTTGCACTCCATGGCCACTATTCTCTTCTCTTGGTGGTACTTTTGCTAATTCACAAGACGACTTATGGTGATTATTATTTGTACTTCTCTCAGTTCATTTCTCCTCTATTTCTCTCTCCCATCCTTTTAACTAACCTGGGTCTAAACTGAGCATTTATTTAAAAATAAAATAGTGGTGGTGATCTGTCTTCCTTTTTCTCTGCAAACTTAGAAAAATCAACCACACTAAGCACTTTGAGGCAGAAAAGTTTGTACCTTGAACAACTTCCTTGAGACTACTTTGCCCTGTGGTCTTAGCTACAAGATTTAAAGGCAGAGTGAGCTTTCCCAGCTTAGTGCTGTCTACCTAAAAAAGCTGGGGCAGAACGTGGCTAGTGAATGTGAATGGAGTTTCCTGATGTCTTCCTTCGTTGGCCTTAGGCAAGACTCAACCCCTAATCCAAGTACATACTAGAAGTGCTCTCTATGGGGAAGGCTGTTCTACAGTGGGATAGGAATGTTCCAGATTGCACATCAAGTTTCCATGTCTTTGCATTTCTGGTCCCAAGGTGAAATCTTGTAGCCTAAGGCACAGAATGTCCATTCCTGCAGTTGTATATTGAGTAGCATGAGCACATAAGCATGCGTGGGAGTTCTAGTTACAGGTGCATAATGTCTATTTTTAATGAATTTTATGCCATAAAAAAGATGGAGTATAGTTTTGGCCCGTGTTACTTATGAGCTGTGTGCCACTGAAATGCTACTTATTGGAGTTATTTATTGCACTGATAGATGTATTATTTGGCTTTTTTTGTACAACCAAATCAACATTCCATGAGATGCTGTTGCTTTCATTAGACACCTATTAAATACAATTCAACTTTAAATAAGAATATTGTCAATCTTCCCCAATTAACAAAAGATCAGATTCTCCAAAGCATGAACCTGATACTGTTTGTCTGTCACCTACAGTTCCAATCATTAGGCCAGTATTGTGTATTGAACTTTAAAGTAAAATCTCTCAAAGAAAAAAAAATGCATAATTTTAATAAAGTTGCCTTTGGATCACTCCATTGCTGACTCTGCCCATTTTGTGCTTCAGTATTAAATACACGTTTAATTTCTAGGATTCATTCTATCTTATTACGTAACACCACCCTGGGTTGTTCCAAAGTACCTGCTGTAATACCTCATGGGAACAGGCTTAATTCCTTAGGCCCTTTTAGTGTCTGTGGGGTTCTTGAATCTTGATTTATTATTAGCACATTGGGCTTGTGTGGAAAGGGGCTTATTTTATTCCGGGGGCTCCAGTACAAACCACTTCCAGGCCAGAAGGTTCAATCTACTACTAGTGTACCTTGTGGGGATTTAAATTAAAGTAATCCTTGTGTTACAGTCATGTCCTATAGACAGCGTGACTTTGAATAGAGGAAAGGGGACTGAGGCTGTGGTGACAATTGACTAGACCTGGGGAACTATATATGGGAGTGGAAGGAGAAAGAAAAGTCATTAACAAACATCAGTGTAAAGCACCAGCCTGGAGCTAGCTCTCACACAGGTCTAGGCCTGGCTCTGCTTCTGCACAAATAAAGTGAGTAAGTTGGATGGACTTGTTCTCTAAGGTCACTTCCACTTTATAATTCTCCAAATCTATGTACCTATTAACCAGAAACATCCTAGCATTTCCTACAATATTTTCTTGGCTACAATGGCTTTTCATTTGTCATGGGCAATAATACCCACTTTACTACCATTCTTAATGTTTACCAAGAAATCACGGAGAAGTTTAAACTCAGAATGCAGAATGGTGTGGTCGAGTTTCACAAGTCTGAATGCTTCTACCTCTGCTTGCCAGTAATTTGGGGGGAAGGGGGAAGGAGGGGGTCCAATATGTCACCAACCCAGGTCCATGGTGGGCTTTGTTCTTAGAAATAAAGATACCATTGTGGCATTACTGCTTCTAGCAAGATCTGAGTAAAGCCTGAATAATCAAAAGATCAATTGTTCCATGTGTTAAATGGTCTGGGTTTCTTTGGATACAAAAAACTTCATTAGTTCATATTATGAATAATTCTTGATTCAACCTGCAGCTGTGTGAACAATTTTAAAACAAGGCGGACAAAGCAAGTGTAGACTTCACGTTTTAGAGCCCCCATGGCATCCTTCATTATCAAGTATGTATAGGGACTGAAGTGAAGGTGGGTTGGAAAGTTATTGGGAGGGGAGGGGCTGGGAACTGTTAATAGAATGAACACCCTTGAAAATACGGCATATTTTCTTCCAACATTATACAATACTTAATGATGCCTTAATCTCAAGGAGGCTCTTTGAATAACTAGTTTTCAAGTCACTGTCACAGCATCTCAGGCATTTGGCTGAATGTCAGAAGGGGCATGACTGAAAGGTGGGCACCTCACCACCCTGGGTGTCAGCTTTGAGAAAAAAAAGTGAGTTTTCTCTCCCTCTCCCCCCACCATGATTGGAGCAGGAGTAGGGCTGAAATTAACACTAAACACTACTAAATTCCACATTTTCCCACTTATGTTTGTGACAAAGTAGTGGCACACCTTCATTCTCCACTAAGCCATTCTTGGCTTCTCAATGAAGAAGAGAATGAGCCTGGCATCTTCAGGCTGGGCTGCTCGTCTCCCCAACCTAATTTCCTCCACTACCACCTCTAGGGGTGAATTTTTAGCTGTAGCCACTAAGCCAAAGCAATGCTATATAGGCGCATGCTATCCTCAATCGGTGTTCTTCCCTGGCAATTGCTGGCTATGCTGCACTCCGGAGTGGAACCGGTGAGGATGCTTAATTAATCCTTTGTGGCTGCTTTGTTTGTTACTAGGCATAACCCAGATGAACTGGTAGTGGAGTCTGAGAACAGTTAGGAAAGAACAGAGGGCACTGATCTAACAAATAGGGTTTTGATTATGCATTTAAAAAAACAAGCAGTCTAGAATGTGTCCAATTAACCATTGACATAATTGTTTAATCAGTTTCTCACACACAAGGATAGTAACAGTGATCCACTACAGACAAAGTGATTTCACACATACAGTGCTGGCTTCATGGAATACAGAATCTGTATACACAAGGGTTTGGATGTAGCCAGGGTGGAAAACATTAGGACTCTGCCCCAGGGCCAAGCCAGGGTTTGATTTCCCTCCTGAACCAACCCCAGTGAGTTCCTGGAACCACACTCCCCACCAGGCATTCCTGACTAAGGAAATGCCCCATTAGGAAAACCTCAATTGCCTAGCATACTGAGGGTCTGGCTTGTTAAATGGCTATTCAAAAACAAAGACATAGAGCCACAGTAAGGCAACAGCTATCCATGCACCCAACATGCAAGTAAGGAAGCCTCCAAGAAGAACAGTTTGACACTTAAGGAATTAAAATCCGAGTTTGATCCAAATAACTGCTTCTCTTTCCAATGATCCAAAAAGGCTAACTGCAGCTTTCCCCATACTTTTTTCTTTGTAGACTTTCACTACTTCGGAAAATTAATGAGTATGAGATCTACTCTGGAGTGTTGGCATAGCCAGGGAGGCCTGTCCCTTACCCTCCCCTCAAAGAACAGGACAATATACTTCCACGACCAACAGAGAATGCTTTGGTCTTGGTGGTTCAGCAAATATAACAACAAAGAAAGACACACTCCACATTTGCTTTCAAGTCACAATCTCCCCAGTTTTCAGTTCTTTATGCCACTCTATTATAATGTGGTGGAGAATAGCAGAGTAGGACCTAAATCAAGGACCCTCATATTTAGTTTGAAAAAGGTAGAACATTCAACCTTATCTCCTTTTCCACTATGGGAAAACACATAGTATGACCCAATTGCTCAGAAAATGGATTGAGGAGAAGCAAATCTTGTTTAGATAAAAGCCCAAAATGTGAGCCAACATAAGCTAGGGGTCCAGCTACCTCCTCAGGGAGTCCTCAGGACTTGCACTTGTCCTACTTGCACTGTCCTTAGTCAAAGCATAAGACATGTTCCACTACACCCAATGGAACAGGTAGCAGTTGATGGGTGTCTGGGTGGGGTTCAACAGTATTCAGACAAGTGTAATTTATTCATGGCAAATAGCTTGTTTATAGTAAGCTAAAAAGTCCCATTTTCAGTTGGTAAAGAAGGGAAAAAAATATAGTTTCAGTTCCTTATTATTTTTTCTTGAAAAAAATAAAACCAGGCTAACCTTCAGTTAAACAGTCTTGTCCTTAAAAGATGTATACAGTCTGTTTATACTACATGGTGCCATGTCCTTCATCTTGTTCTACTTTTGACATGTCTAGGAAATGTTAGCCCAGATTATAACCACCCAAATGTGGGCAAACTGCCAGAGAAAGGACTGGTAGCTGCACCACAGCAGTGATTTGGGGACCCAGGGGACCTCCATGTTTCCTTATTCGCTTTGCTGGCCTGAACTCACCTGAAGCTATAGCTCTACCTGTCTTTGTTTACTTGCAGGCTATGAGGGCAATGCTAAGAGAATGTGTGCACTTGGCAATAGCAAAGGTTTTACCTGCAAGAAGAACAAGTAAGAACTTTCTGCACTTTGATAAGTTCTAAGGACGTATTTTTGACCAACATGGACTCACTTTGTCCACCTTCAACTAGGAAGAGATGTAGGAAACAAGGAAAGTTGGGAAGTAGGGAATATTTAATGCTAATTAATGTTGAATTTCTAAAACCCCTACCCAACATTACTAACTCAATCTTTAAGGCAAATTACAGCTTAAGTCAGTAATGCCTTCCTGATGACAAAGGTTACATGATCACTACCCAGGTCCAGAGACGACTGGACTAAAACCATGGATCTGGGTTTCTGGGCGAGCTAGACACTGGAATAAAGTGTTCTATCTGTCAAGGAATGAAGAGTGCTTTTTGTAGACAACAGAGCCCGCCCTGCTTAGCAAAAGGCCTTCTTCCCTCAGAGCCCCAAATATCCCTGGTCTGCTAAATATCATTCTTTACATGTTGGCACCATGGGATTTGGCCAGAAGTGCACCTTTTAGTACTTTCTTTCTTTTTTTTTTAAAGAAAAAAAATGCTCCTTATTTTCTTCCTAGTCATGACCTTGATTTTTTTCAATGGAGTTGGCTTTAAAAAAATCCAGACATCAAAACAATTCTTGAGAGACAGAATTATTCCCCTCCCGTTCATTTATACACAAAGAAGAGAAGACTATGTAGACTATGAAATGCTATGGAGATATTAAAGGTTTCACGATCCTACAGGGTTGGGGGGGAGGGAGGAGAGCGTGTGTGCGTGTGTGTGTGTGTGTCTGTGTGTGTGTGTCTGTATGTGTGTGCATGTGTGTGACAAAGGGGACTGTAATAGTCCTGGATGATTTTTAAAGAAGCCTGACAACCATTGCTACATCTGACATGTACTTCCAAAACTTTTGCTGAAATGCACATTCTCACGTCTCATCAAACCCATTTTCATACAGATAACAGGCACTGCAAGGCAGAATCCCAGCACCTTGAAGTAAAGAATCCAAACCAGCTGGAAGACAGTGTGTGAGTCTTCTGGAGAGAGGGCCAGGACAGCAAGCACCCCAAGAACCATGCATACTAGCAAGCAGGACGGAGCTGGCAGAGTGGCCATCCCACCCCTGTAACTATCTAGCAAATGCTCATTTTACTGAGGAATTTTCTCCTCTCTTCATAAAGCTGCTTTTTGGGGGGGGGGAAGGAGGGGAAATAATAGAAAAGGGGCACAAATTCCCAAAGCACCCAGCACCTAAGCTACCTCACTAACTTGGAAGCACAGGCATAAATCATGCCCTCATTCTTCTCCCTCAAGCCATCAACACCACCATCACTTTCTTCTCTAAGAAACACTATTTTATAAAGACAAGCTCATCCACTGGTGGTAAAGTGACTGCAAACTGCATTTGGTGCAAAGTTAACGAGAAACCAGAAGCACTTTCATCTTGAATCCATGAGACTGCTGTTCCCAACAGCGCCCCACTGACAGGACGTGCTACTCCCTGGGGATGTTAGGGGGTGGGATCTTCACATCTGAGGGTTCAACACCCCATATCTCCCTGGCATATTCAGTGATTGTCCGGTCACTGGAAAACTTCCCAGAGCAAGCGATATTCTTGATGACTTTCTTTGTCCACTCTTTGGGATTCTGCAGAACAAAAGAGAAGTTAGAAAAACCCATCAGTACTGATAGACTATGGCTGCAAAGGTACACTACCTGACAATGGTCCTACAAGCTGTAATTGTGGCTCTCAAGGAAGTTTTCTGATAAGTGAGGAGACCCTAACTCCTATATTTACTAAATGGGCCCCCAGAATGAACCCAGGAAAGTGACCTAAAAGGGAAATATACTGCTATTGGAAGTAGTCTGCTTGGCTTGTCTAGCTTTATCAGCAGAGGGACTGGGAACAGTACCTGGAAACCTCAGGCAGGAGAAGCCTCTTAAAATGCACTCTCTTTCCCAAGTGGGGTCAGTCATAAAGAGTGAGACACAATTAAAAAATGACTGAACAACAACAATTTCCTGTGACCACAAATAATGAAGTTTGTATGTTACTATACAAAGGGATGAAGCTTTCTTCGGGATAAGAGACTTGAGTAAACTATTTACTAGGTCCACTCTGGGGCCTTTGGTACCTAATCCTACTAGCAGATCATGTCGCCATACTGCTTCCCCCTGACGACAAGTACAGTTTGTGGTCGCCCACAGGAGAGAAAAGCGTAGCTCGCTGCTCTTTGACATCAGTACTAGGCCCTAAATCTAATGGCACACAAGGCTGACGGCAAGCAGCGACAAACACTTTAAAGAAACATTTTTTAACAGAAATTGTCACCCAAAATACGACAGACATTAAAAAAAAATTCCGGCACAAAATCCAGTCAGACTCCACATTCACTGTCTCTACATTGTTTTTAAATCATTTTCATTCCCAATGTCAACCTGGTGGGCTTTTTAAACTCTCGACTTCAATTTCTAAAGCTTGGGGAGACTGACCAGGAAAGACACTAAGCAGCCAGAACCTCTGCTGCTAAGAAACCCCTTGTAGTGAGCCAAGTAACCCCGGCGAAGGAGGTCCTGGGGAAAACCCTAAGGCTTAAGAGACACACAGCACGTGATACTGGAAGGACAGCCATGGGGAAGGATTTGATTTGTTCTCCTTGGATCCAGAAGGAATAAGTAGGAGCAATACATAAAACGTCAAAGAGGCAGATTTTAGGTTCGTGTAAAGAAAACTTCCCACCAACCAGAGCCTTCCAACCAACAAGCCTACTTACTCTGTGCTAGGCATGGTGCTGGGTGCAAGGGATACCCATAAAAATGGAATGGACTGCTTTGGGGAGGCGATGGGTACCCTCTTCACTAGAGGAAGCCAAAGAAGACCTGGGCAACCGTGTCGTGAAGCAGACTCTTTCTTGGTTAGAACACATGGTCTATGAAGTTCTTCCTTCTGTCAGGCCTTTCCTCTGAGATTACTTCCCACTCTCTCTCTCTCTCTCTCTCTCTGAGAGAGAGAAAAAGAGTGTAAATACACATTCACACACATATTTATATGTGTGTGTGAAAAACTTGCAGGCATATGGCTGCTTGCCTGTTGCTCCCCCATTAGAACATGAGGTCCTTGACATCAGAGGTCACATTTTGCCTTTCCTCATATCTCAGGGTGCTTAGCACAGCCCCGGAACATAGTAGGTGCTTAATATGTGCTTGGTGACTGAACTTCACACTTCGTGGTTAAAACCGACACTGAATATGAGAACAGCAAATAAAGCGGGATGGTGTCCTAATCCCATGGCAGCCTTTCTAACGGCTTTCAGAAGTCATCTGGCCTACCTATCTACTGTGAACTCACTCCCATCTATCAATGCCATTCTTACTTCCTCTTACCCAATCTCACTTGCTTCTTCTACTGATCTCTAAGACAGGGAAAAAAGAATCTGAAAATAGCAACCACCCAGCAGTTTCCCCTAGACATTAACATAAAACAAGTCAAGTGGGAATAGAAAGGTGCAGCACAGCAATTGTTATTGAGCCTATTTGAATTTTGTGTTCATCACTTCAGGTGATGCATCTGCTTCCTAAATGGTTCTCCTTCCCTCTAATTTCTGTCCTTTCCAATTAACCTGTGATATCACTCACTTCCCTGCTGAAAAACAGAGAGCAGTTTCTCATTACTGCCTGGTCTAAATTCACAGTCCTGAATCTGGAACCCAAAGGCCCAATAGGAAAGGTGTCCAGTCCCAGGTTCTTCTACTCCCCCAAGTACACTGCCCAATCTAACTAGCCTAGATTTTTTTTTCTGACTCCCCAAGTCCATTCTTGCTTTTATGTCTTTGCTCGTGCTTTTTTCCTACTAGAAATGCTTTTTCTCAAGCCAAATTCCAAGTGTGAGGCCCAGATTACCTCCTTCACCAGTTCTCTTAGACTAACTGCAATTTAAGCTATTTCTTTTACTCTGAATTTCTGCAGCCACAAGCACTGCCCTGAATTGTTTTCTAGCAGTTTCATGTATGTAAATCTGCTTCCTTAATTAGATTTCAAGAGGAGAGAGACCATTTTTTCTTTCTTTTGTATATTTATAGTGCCTGGCATAGTGCTGGCAATACAGCAAGTACTTCATAAACAGTAAGTTAATAAAAAGTAAAAGAAGGAAATGCCCCTATGAGCATTTTCATGGCTACTTTGTGGTACAGGTTACTTAAAAAATCTAATGAAAATACACAAATTGAACTAGGGGAGAGTGGTTTCCAGCACTGCTACAGTACAGTATCTATAACCTCTTGTCATCATATCTACAAAAGCTCTAAGGATGAATATCGGCATTAACATCTTCTCTTTCGTCTAAGGACCAACAGCTAAGGTATTTACCATCTCAATCCTAACTCTTCAGTCTAAGGACATGTGGCAAATCTCCCTGCTGGGCTCAAAGTCAAGTTAAGAGAAAGAATCCCTGCTCCCAACCATGCCAAGAACAGAAGAGACCTGGGCTGCAGGGGAATGAAGGGAGAGTTTGCGCATCGCTATGGATACTACAAGTGGAATGGACAAGGGAGAGGGTAACAAGGTACAGAAAGCAGAGCTTTTGGCATTTACAATCTCAAATGGAACAATTAAGCTGATCATCTGCACCCAATTATTTAACTCAAGTCTCTGAAACATTCCCAAATGCTCTAGCAACCCTGCGTGGGGGCTACAATTTAGTTGTGAAAATATCATTTTAGAGAATCCTTTTTGAAAATGAAAGCAACACACAGCAAGAGAAAGATGGTTTGTTTCTGCCCTTGATGCCAGTCGCTGGCCAGAAGACTAGGCAAAGGGCCTCACGGGCCAGACCTCTCACAGAAACGTCTCCTGACAGACTGTACAATATTTGGTTGTGCTACCCTGCGGGAAGCCTGGCTTTCTGAGCATCTAATGCCCCTAAGTTCTCAGAGGACATATGCAGTATTACCCTATATAACTGGTCCACTTTTGCTTGGCATTCTATATAGGCTTCATAGTCAGCAAACACTTTAAACCTAAAAACAGAAAACAGATTGTGATTGGAATAAAGTTGAGTAAAGCGAAAAAAAATACTCAGGAGAAATTTTATTCTACAACAAGAGGGACATGGGTAAATAGACAGAAAAGATGCAATGCTTTGAATTTTTAACATTAATTCTACTAGTTAATACTCATATTTAGATTTGGGCTATGCAACATAACACAAACATACTAACACATTCTTAGGAGCCCATCTACTCCATTATCCCATCTACTAATTTTACATAATTAGGGGAGACTATGACTAAAATTTTCCCTCTAGGAGGGATTAAAGAAAGCAAAGGTCACTCCTACAATTTTTAAAAGCAAAGGTTCTTTAGCTGGGGTCCACAGACCCTGGTCTATGAAGAGATTTTGGGGGTCCATCCATTTAAATCTCTATTTTTTTTTAAATCTTTTTTTTTTTGACAAGGCAACTGGGGTTAAGTGACTTGCCCAGAGTCACACAGCTAGTGAGTGTTATGTGTCTGAGGCCGGATTTGAACTCAGGTCCTCCTGACTCCAGGGCCAGGGCTCTATCCACTGTGCCACCTAGCTGCCCCTAAATCTCTATTTTTACTAACCTCTAACTGAAATTTAGCATTTCCTTCAATAAAAATTTTTTTCAAAGAAACACTGTTTAGACAAAGGGATCAGGACACAAAAAAACCAAGAGCCCCTACATTTAAAGCTAAGATACTCAGACTGCTGCTTATAATTAGGCCCTTAGTTCGTTTCAACAAAATTTAATTTCAGTTGTCATTACATTTACATCTATTACTATAATTGATCTTTATAATAAGCCTTTGGGGTAGGCAGGGAGCTGTTGCAATAATCCCCATTTCAGTGATAAGGAAATGGAGTGAAAAGGATGTGTTCTGACTTAGGTAAGGTCTCTAGACAAGCTGTACCTGGACAGGAGAGGAGGCAGGGGAAAAAGGAGGAAAAGCTGTTATCTATGAGGGTTTATGGGCATGACAGACAGCACTTTGACTAGAAGTTGGGTCATTTATTCCCTGGACCAAGTGCTCTGCCTCTCTCAGAGCTACAACTGTGTACTGACATTTACTCATCCTCCAAAATCACATATCAATTATTACTGAATTAGTCTTTACTGGCACCAAGTTTAGCTCCCCTTCTGGCAGTTTGAGGTTTGTTTATATATATGTATGTATGTATGTATGTATGTATATGAAGGGAGAGACAATGGAGGGAAAGATAAAGCTTTTTCATGAAAATTCATCTTTAGGTGGTGCAGTAGATAGAGCACTAGGTCTGGAGTCAGGAAAATTTGAGTTCAAAGTCAGCCTTATATACTTACTAGCTGTGTGACCCTGGGAAAGTCACTTAAACTCTTTTTTTTTTTGCCTCAGTTTCCTCAACTGTAAAACAGAGATAATAATTGCACCTCTATCTCAGGGTTGTTATGAAGATCAAATAAGGTAGTATTTGAAAATGTTTACTCAGTGTCTGGCATATAGTAGATGCTATATAAATGCTTATTCCTTTCTTTTTTTTACCCCTCAATATTTTGTTAAGTGTCAAAACAGATACAAATAAGCACCAGAGCAGAAGTCAGGAGGACCTGAGTTCAAATCCGGCCTCAGACCAAACACTTGACACTTACTAGCTGTGTGACCCTGGGCAAGCCACTTAACCCCAATTGCCTAAAAACAAACAAACAAACAAACAAACAAACAAACAAAAAAACAAAAAAACAGATACAGATAGAATGAGCTACAGATATACAAAAAAAGAAGTATTTCGCATTCAGTGGGTTATACTTGGACTGCAAATCAAGGAAATTTCTAGACAAGTGTGAAACAAAAGCTAATTTTCTACCTGTCGTGATACATTAGCATGTTCACAATATCCTTAAAGCAGTCAGGATCCTTAGGAGAGAAAAATCCACTGCTGATCTGGTCAATCACTTGCTTTAGCTCTGGGATCCGGTCATAGTAATCCTTGGCATTGTACCTGCAGAGGAAGTAAGTACAAATATTCCTGATGTTGACATATGAGTAGATTATGGGTGATGGGCCCATAACCAAATATGAGATCTCTTCCTCAATCCAGTAAGTGAACTTTTACTAAGTGAACATACCTAGGTTTGTGATGCAACGTTTACCAGTATTTCCTCCTCTTTTGCAAACTTTTATCAATTAAGGAACAAACTTTTATTAAGTTCCTACTATGTTCCTACTAGGTCCTATGGTCCTACTAGGCTTCATGCAGAAGGTGGTGCTTGAGTTGAGTCTTACAGGAAGGGAGGGCTTCTAGGTGGCTGAGGTGAGGGGAAAGTATACTGAGCCCCCGGGGCTGCCAGTGCAAAGGCACAGAACAGAGGGGAGCCAGATGGGCTAGTTGTATGTGTGGGAAAGGGGAAGTGTCTACATTTGTGTTTCCTTTGTGATATTTATGTACTGTGGTCTTTACTCTAACCAGAATCCAAGGAAAAGGAGCTCTGATAACCCCACATATTGCATAGGTAATAATTTTTTATATTATTCAAAAGTCATATTGTGTTCATCTCTGAGCCTTACCGTGAAGCTGCTTCTGCTCAAAAGTCTTTACTGGATTCATTTAAAAGACTAAGCCAAATTCAAATTCTTCTGCCTGTCAAGACCCTACACAATCTGGCATAATTTTACCAAATATAATGTCCCAAAGGACTTAACTCTTTCATCTCTGAAACAGAGTTCCTGGCTCCCTTTAGGACTCACTGTCCCTATTGCTGAGTTCCTCAGATGGCCTGCTGCATCGGGATAGACTGGTTTTAGGAGTTTCCCATTACTCCTCAGGTCATCCCTTCACCAGCTGTCTTCCCCTTCCCCCCACCCCTTTCCTGGTATAGAAACAAAATCAAAAAAATATATCAATCCTGCCACTGCTACTAGAAAAGGTATGACTATCCACTCCACTAAGGCTCCACTCACATCAATAAACCTTTCCAAACTAAAATGTCCCTCCCTAACACTCTCCTATATTTATTGTCTCCCTCTATTAGAATGTAAGCTTCTAGGGGCAGCTAGGTGATACAATGGATAGAGCGTTGGTCCTGAAGTCAGGAAGACCATGAGTTCAAATCCAGCCTCAGACATTTACCAGCTGGGTGACTCTGGGCAAGTCATTCAACTTCTGTGGCCTCAGTTTCCTCAACTGTAAAATGGGAGTAATAAAAGCACTTACTTCCCAGGGTTGTTGGAAAGAACAAATGAAATTTTTATAAAACTCTTAGCACAGTGTCTGATACATAGTAGGTGCTATATAAATGCTTTTTCCCTTCTCTTCCTCCCTTCCCCTTGAAGGCAAGGAATGTCCTCCATTTTGTCTTCGTATGCCCAGCAAAGCACTGTACTTGGCACACACTAAGTATTTAATAAATTTATATTTCATTCATTCATTGCCATATTCTATTCCCTACCACGTATATTCAACGTTCTGCCCAAACTGTACTGCAAACATACTCTGCATTCTCTTACCCCTCCCTCACCTGTTGAATTTCACCTATCTTTTAGATGGGTACCATCTAACTCAAATGCCACCTCTTTCATAAACCTTCTCTGATTCCTCCCCACTGGTAACAACCTTTTCCCGCACAAACTTAACAAAACACTTTGCTTAACATGTGTCTAAAGTGCTTATCACATAGTGTTATTGATCATATTCACCTGTACATGTATTCATTCTATCCTTATAGAATGTTGGCTCCATGAGAACAGGGACTATTCCTTATCTACACTCTGTCTCTTCTCCAATGACCAACAAAATACACTGCAAGCAGGAACTTACTGTTTGTAAAATTTAATTCTCAAGCTCAAGCAGTATCCAACTACATCAATGACCTAGAACTATAAAAACAGCAAAGATGCCATGCTTTATGGAACAAATAAAAGAAAATGGAGGAATAATTACTAAGCAATGGAGATGCACATACCCTTTCTTGTCCATGGCCTCCACATCTTCCACCCTCATACCAAAGATGAAAAGATTCTCTTCCCCAGCCTCTTCAGCCATCTCCACATTAGCACCATCCATGGTTCCAATAGTGAGGGCTCCATTCAGCATAAATTTCATGTTCCCTGTGCCTGAGGCCTCTGTGCCAGCTGTGGAGATTTGCTGTGACAGGTCAGCTGAAGGGATCACTGTGAGATGAGATGAAAAAGGGCAACATAAAACAAGATGAGTTCATTCAGCCATTCTTTAATCCTGGCTCTATCAAACTTAGTTTATCAGTCACTCCTAGGTCTGCCAGAGAAATAATCTACCAAAACCAATGTTGAACAAAAAGAATTTATTTCCTTAGTTTATAGAGGGAACTAGATTTCTAAAGTTTTTTAGTCCATCAGCAAAAATGTAAAAAAAAGGTGGATTCCCAGATGCCCAGAGGGCCCATTTAAATAGATAATATAAGATGATATCCCTTAGCAGAGTGATACTAGGGAAATACAAAGGGGATGCAGGGAGAGATGGCAGTCCAACACAGAATGGTTTTTGTTCATTGGCATTTTCCATGATGTGGCAGCTAGAGAGTTACCATCAGATCTTGTAGTTTTTATCCCCAGAGTGCTCTTAATTAGAATTTTCCATGATCTAGATGATAGAATAGCTCACTCTACTTTACAGCTTCTCTTCAACATGCTGGTAAGAATTGTTCTTTTGGCCTTTTGTCTTCCCCAGTAAGACATCTTAGTCTGATGTCATTGCTATTCAAGTTTGACAAATAAAAAGACAAAGGGAGCAGTTTACAATGTATCACTGCTTTTCATTGTATTATTGGTAATATTGATATAAAGAACAGCCAAGTCCAGCCCTTTCTCAAAGGAGAAAAAGCTAGGTTTGTAGGCCTGGAAGAATCACGGTCATTCCTAATGGCACAAGTAAGACTATGTCCAAGAGCTTCCCTAAGAAGTTTCTTTGAGAACATTATGACAAATCATTAATATTACTATTTAGAGAGTTATGTGAAGAATAAAAGAATATTTAGGCAGAACTCTGAATCCTAAACTATTACTACTACCATTCTATATATAGGATTGCCGTACATTTACTACTATATAAAGCAGAGATGGACACAGGAGAATTGAAAGAGAGGGAAAAATTAGACAGAGACTAGTTCATAATCTGAATGAGTTCCTTTATTTAGGGAGCCTGCAAAATTGCAACTAGCAGCTTATACTTAGTGAGCTTATAGCCAAGTGAAGCACCTGGGATAACTTAAGAATTTGGGGAATTCAAACCCCAGTTCAACCCCTTACTGGATGGTGCAAGTCACCTGCCTGCCAAATACCTGTCTTCGTATTAGGAAAACTAGGATTTACGTTTGAGATCTAGAGCCTTCATCAACCTGGAAGAAGTCTGGAAGGGCATTCCAAGGTCAGCATGCACACAGCTGACGCACATTCCTGCAATAGCTCATAAGAGAAATCTCAAAATTTTCAACACTCCTTCAATCCCAGTTGCAGACATATAAGAACCACTACTAGTGGCTGCCAAAATCAGAAGTAGCAGGTGAGGCCAGATACTTTAAGAAGAAAAGAAGCATCTAATCTCTGTGAAAAGTCAAAAGCAGTTATACTAACCCCAGGGGAGGTTACAAAGAAGGAATGAGAGGGATTTCAAAGAACTCTGCAAAACGAAGTGATGTCCTATATATTAAATACATTTTCTCAGTAAGAAACCGTATGGTTTTTCTATATATAAAGCAAGCCAGGTCAGACCTGACTGAGTTTTCCATTCCTGAATTCAAAAAGGAGGAGAATATTTTAGTAAGTTTCCATTCAGTATGAAACACAGTAGTAACTCAAAGCTATTAGGCACACGCCTGCCATATTGCCTTTGATTGCGGCTTCCTCCCATGGGGAGGGATGCCAGTGACACAGGTCCAACAGAGACAGACTAAAATCAAAGACTGGGGAGTGGGGAGGGAAGAAAAACTGGGAAAAATTCAGAGAGGAGGGAAAGGAGAAGTAAGGGATAAGCTTGAAGGGTAAGAGACAGGAAAAAGAAAGCCATGAGATAAGGGGAAGGCAGTGCTAAGACAGCCTGAAGATGCCTATCCCCCGTGGCCATCAAGTTCTCCTTCCTTCCCTCTGCTTCCTGGCTTCATTCAAGCCCCAGATAAAAGTCCACCTTGGACAGGAAGCCCTTCCAAGTTCTTCTTAATTCTAGTGCCTTCCTTCTTGATTGTTTCCAGTTTATCCAGGATAGAGCTTGTTTGTACCTAGTTGTTTGCATGTGAGCTCCCCGACTGCACTGAGAGCTCCTTGGGAGCCAAGAATGTCGTTGTACCTTTTTCAGCAAAGGAGACTCGATAATTCTCTAAGAAGATCACTTTAAGCCTGTCTCCTACAACTGGATCCTGATTGACGACATTACCAATGGATGTAACCAACTTGATGATCATCTTAGCCATGTGATAACCAGGAGCAGCCTGAAAACAGAAAATGATTAGATAGATATAAAAATACATGGAAGGCTAGAGGTCATTTAAGAGTGAGAAAAATAAGAAAATAATATTATTAGTTTATCAGGATAAATGCTCACAAACTAATACTTTTCTCTTGTAGGAGAGTTATTATTAACTGCTATTGAAATTAACTGAAACATTAAGTATGCCCTGATGAAATCACCTCATGTTATTACTCGACTTTTATGATAAGAATTTACAGCCTGAACCAGCCAAAATTTTTGCATTTGAAAACAGCCAATAAGTATGCTGGTGCACATAACTAATAAGCACCATTTATTACAGTAATGATTTGCATTTTTCAAAGGAAAATGATACCACATCCTCTCCCTTTCCTTATTCCAGGAGACAGTATAGGTTGGGGTTCCTTTTTCTCAAACTCATCCAAAACCGATCAGCAATGGCTTTTAAAAAAAGACTGAAGTACTCAATTTCTGAACCTATCACTTCCAGTTCAATCTGAATACTTAAGAAACCATTGATTACTTGACAGTCCTTCCAATCTCATAATATGCTGCTTCTACATCCATGCATTTCCCAATCAATCTTATTTCCAGTACCTTCCTCTATTGATTATTTTCTACTTATCTTGTATGTAGCTTGTTTGTACATACTGGTTATGTTGTTTCGTCCATTAGATTGTTAAGTTCCTCAAGGGCAGAGACTGTCTTTTGCCTTTCTTTCTATCCCTAATGCTCAGCACAGTGCCTGGCACATAAAAGTACTTTCAAATGTTTACTGATTATTGGATACAAATATCCACATAGAAAGAGTTTTGCATTTCTTGAGGTAAAAGTGAGGCAACTTCTTAGCCACAAGGCTCATATGATTTCTATCAAACTACTCCAGACCTACAGTTATTTGAAAAATAAATCCAATACTTCAATGTATTACATACTGTAAACCTTCAAAAACACATATAAACAGCCACAGGAATATTGAGCATTTTTTGATCTTAACTATTTCACCTCTAACACCAATCTCACATTTCTCAGGGAACATCAATTTCTTTACATTTGTTTATTCAATTTGTTTTCTCTACCTCATGAATTCCTTTTAGGAGTTTGGAAAGATAAGAAAGACAGACAAACAAACAAACAAATAGGAGGCCATCAGGCTGCCCAGGCCACAGAGTAAACAAAAAGCCACCAAACTAAACTTATATCAAGCAATGGTCTTATTGGGTCAGGAAGACCTGGGTTCAAGGTCTGACAGTGATTAGCCGTGTGACAAAGGACAAGTCACTTGATTGCTCTGAGCCTTATTTTCTTCCTTTGCAAAATGAGGCTAAAATAATAACAGTTACCTAATTCACAGAGTTACGGAGAGGTTCAAATGATATAATGTATGGAAAGTACTTTGTGAACTTTAGAAGATAAATGTTAATATTTATCTGTCTTTTTAAAAAAAAATTTTAAAAATTAAAAAAAAAAAACAAAAAACCAAACTCCCACCACCAAGGTCTCACTCTCTCTCATCTGGGCTCTGGCAATGCTTTTCTAATTGATCTCCCTGCCTCAAATCTCTCTCAATTACAAAGCATTCTGCACACCACTGCTAAAGTAATATGGCCTCCAGAATAGAGTCAAAACTGGTTAGCCTCCAGAATTAGGCTTTAATCCACTCTTGCCTCCTGCTACATCCTCCTGCTACATCCCAGCCCAACTATTATTCCCTGACTCCCAAATGTACCTTCTGTTTTCCCTGTTTTTGCTCCCTCTTGCTAGAACGCCCTTTCTCTGTCCCAATCTCCACCTGCCGAAAACCCACTCATCCAGAGCCAGCTCAAATGCCACCTCCGCCATGAAGCCTACTTCTTCCCCTCTAAATAGATGTAAGCCACCAGAGCTTACAGCATCTCTATTATGCTTTGTGTGATGGATGCTGATTGTGTACTTGCCATAATATGTATAAAGTGCTTAGCATGGTGCCTGGCACATGGTAGGCACTTACAAAGGATTACTCGCTTTCCGTCCTATCCTTCATCACAACGTAAGCTCCAGGAGCTGAGGGCTATGTTATTTTTATTTTTTATTCAATGAACAATCTAGCAAAACGCCTTAACGTCATAACACCTAAATAGCTAATGAACTGAAACAATACTACAAGGAAAAACCTCACAGAAATGATGACTATTTAATATACTTAAAGCCTATAGGATGTTCATCCAAGTCATTACATTGAGTCAAACAACAAATCACATCTCCTACGCTGATACCCTCAAATTCTAACAACCTGCTTAAGAATCTTAGGGAAAAAGAGGACTGCAGATTTCAGAGTCTAATGACATCAAGTAGGACCTCCTTAAATTGGCATCTTTCAAGGCTATAACATTTCATAAAGTGCTACGCTTTTAATGGATACTTTCCCTAGGAATGATTGCAAAACTGGTAGAAGGTTGTATTTATCTTATGCACAGATATAAAGTATATCAGAAGTTTGCAGAACCAGTAGGTGTATTTGTAATCTCTATTTTAGTCCACTGAGCTTTCCTGAAATAGCTTATATTATATAACCTAAGTACTATACACATTTAAAAATATAAAAAGATGGATTAAAGGGCAAATACAGCTTAATTTCCAATTGATAAGACAGCCACACCCTATACTTTGTGTCCATTTTCCAAATACTCAAGAGAAAGGGATGACTGAATTGTAAGAATGCTATAGTATGCATTTGCAAATGATTTGATCTGAGCAATTTAGAGGAGGAAATAACAAAGAGAAAAGAGAGTAGTATTTGCTCTAGCGTAAATGATCTAAATGTCCACGGTATAGCAAGCAAATAAATAGCCCAGGCTTGATCACCCTAAGTTAGCTATCCATGGGTAAAAAACAGTAAGTAAGCGGGTCCAAAGTTGAACTGCACTGCTACAGTGTCCTGCCATTGTTTATGTGTGTGATATAGCGGCAGTTAGGAAATTACAGACTAGGATTCCTTTATCAGAAGTTCTGTCAAAAGCCTCCTTCTTCTGATTGTGGAAGTAGGAATAAAAAAAAGGAAGGCGAGGTGCATTTAAAATTTTTTTTAAGTTATCCTGAATTATAAATCCAGGAGACAAAAATTGGCAGAGATGCTAATATCCTATTTCTATAAAGTCACGAGGTCCACATATGATTCACATGAATAATATGCTGAGGCCCTTAAAAAATGCACAAGTATGATTACTGATCCACTATCACAGATCAGCTACAAGAGACTTTAGCAGGCCTCTGGTTGGTTGCTGAATGACTGAACAAAGTATTTAATAAATGCTTGCTATTTGCAAAGCTCTGTGCTAAGAGCTAGGGACACCCAGAGAAAAGTAAGAAAGCCCTGCTCTCAAAGAACTCACATTCTAATAGAGGAGACAATCCATATGGAAGGTTTCAGCGGCAAATCAGATGGAAAGGTCTCATGGTCCATAGGGTACAAGATGGTACAAGATGGTAGTGATGAGGATGGGAGTTGAATCCCAGAAAGGAAAAACCCTGGATTTTCCCACATGGCCAAGTCTCTGGCGTTCACCTGAAGCTCTGGCCTTTCATTGTGGCTATACCCAATCTCCCAATTTTATTACCCTTAACCTAGCCTAGCCCTCCCTATGGCCCTGGGTCATTTCCCACACTTAATCCTAGTTAGGCTCCATTGTCCAGGTCCTAGGAGTTTGGTTCACCCCAGTTTACTGGCCACTCCCATCCAGATCTCTTTAGACCCCTCCTCCAGTCACCCCAAACTACTTGGCCACTCCTAGATCCCTCCCACAGTCTTTCTGTATATAAGGTCCATCTTGTCTCCATTAAGATGCTTAGATTCTTAAAATCTAGCCACTGGTCAGATTCTTATAATCTAGCCAATAGCTTACTAATGTTCAGACTCCGTAAGAGTCTGCCCAATATGATGGATGTTCTAATAAACCTTGTCTTTGGCTGAAAGAAGGCTTGGGTCGAATTCTTTCGAGCAGGACCCGTGTGTTGTGATTTTGGGGTCCAAGGACCCCCAAACCCTTAAAGTGCTTCAGTAGTGCTTCTTCATTAACATCATTTTCACTGATAAAATTATATCACTTTCTGATGCTTAACCATTTGACAGGCTCAAGGACTTTGGTGGCAAGAACTTTCTTAGATTCTGGAGTTGCCGCCCAGAATGATGGCTGTGAGGGCTGGGCTAAAAGCAGGACGGGTGGTCTGGGGGGTGGAGGGGTGGCAGCTCCAGGGACTTCTGTATTCATCTGACTGTTGTAGCTGCTGCTGGTGAGGAGGAAAGAGGAAAGAGATTTCTCTCCTCCGAGATAGCTACAAAGGCTGGTCTGGAAACATTTCAGGTGATTTAGGGGATACTACTATTCCCAATGCTCTTGGACTCAGGACCTCAGGCTGTTTCCACTGAGGTCTGAGGGAAGACGGTGGTCAAGGTAGTGGTAATGGTGGTTCAATTAGCCTGACACATGATGAGTTAACTATACATCCATATCTATATCTTTAAACAACATTCTCTTTTCCTTCTCATTAGAATTGCCCTTCCGTGTCTTTAGAATCTCACATTTTCCTAGGCTGACTTCCTCTGAAGATGCTTGCTATTTGTGTCATCTCTGGTAAGTCGATGAACTTCCCTCACCTGTAAAATGGGGGGATTGGGTTAGATGCCTCTGAGGTCCCATCCAGTGCTAAATCTATGATCTTAAGAATTTTAATTAATGAGATCCTGCCTATCTTTCCTCTGAACTTTTTAAAATCTGCTCTTCCCAAATCTAGAGTACCTGTCAAAACTATGTCTTTAACAGAAACTCTAAGAGGGCATGGTCACATCTCCTTCCCCTGAGGGTCCCATCATTTCCAACCCAGCAATCAGTTAATGACCCTTGAAAGGTCACAGAAAACAAAAGAAGCACTGCCTCTTGGGACTGGAGAAGAGCAAACGTGTTGATTTTCTTTCTTCTTTTCTTTTTAAATTTAATATTTTATTTTCCCCCAATTACATGGAAAAACAATTTTTGACATTTTAAAAACTGAATTCCAAATTCTCTCCCTCCCTCTCCACCCCCCTTATTGAGAAGGTAAACAATTTGATATAATTTATACACGTATAATTATGCAAAACATATTTCCACGTTAGTCATGTTATAAAAGAAAACATAGACCAAAATAAAAACCAAGAAAAATTTTAAAAGTATGCTTCAATCTGTATTCAGACTCCATCAGTTCTTTCTTGGGGGGTGGATAGCATTTTTCATCACTAGTCCTTCAAAGTTGTCTTGGATAAATGTGGTGATGTTCAAAAAAGTAAAGTGAACATAGGATACAAAATTCAAATTAATTTTTATGTGCTGATATTGTATAAAGTGCTATTAAAGGGATTGTGAATGAACATCCAGAAATGGAGTGATCATTAATAATGAGTATGGTTTTACCAAGAAACCAGCCATGATAGACTAACCTCATGTCCTTTCTTGACAGGGTATAAGACTGATGAGAAGCCATGTTGCGTAATGGATAGAAGGCTGCCTCAAAGCCAGGACGACTTGGATTCAAGTCTTCCCTCTAACACATCCTGGCTGGGAGACCATGGGCAGGTCATCTAACCTCTAACTACTCAACACAACCAAGAGATGCTCACCTCCCTAATGAGGGAATTTCCTTATATACAAGTTTTCTATACCAATGAGATCCCCGGTCTGGTCTCTGTGCTCTTAGTAGTCTAAACATCAAAGGAATACTGTAGATATAAGGGATCATAGATTTAAAGTTGGAAGGGATCATTTAGTCTAATCCCTACATTTTAAACATGAGGAAACTGAGGCCCAAAAAGGGTAAATGGCTCTCCCAAGGTCATCTAAGTAGCAAGTCAAAAGGCCAGGATTTGAATGCAGGTCCTGGGTCTCTTAAATTTAGCAGCCTTTCCCCTAAACCACACTGCCTCCTACGAAGTATGTAACAAAGGCATTCATGCTATTCCTGTAGGAAAAGACAGAGAAATATCTGCAGCAAAGTTGGAGCTAGCTAAATGATACATAAAGAGCATTCATTAAGGGCTTGATGTCACCTTGCCAAGGGGCCTCTAATGGAGTGCCCAAGGGATCTGTGCTTGGCTGTTTACTATTCAATGACTTGGATAAAGACATGAGGGGGGAAAAGACCACTATGGCACATCTGGGAAACAAGTGAAGAGACAAGCTAGGATTCAAAAAGAGCTTGACAGTCTCTGGCATTGAGTTGAATCGAAGATGAAATTTAAGAGACATCAATGTACACTCGGGTGCAAAAAATTCATTTCACAAGAATAAGACAAGGGATAGTTTGCCTAGAGAGCAATCTGACTGAAAAATAACTGGGGGAGGTTTAATAGACTTCAGGTTCAATGATATAGAAGTCACTAAGATGCACTGGAAGATAAATTTTTTAGCCACAGTAACTCTAGGAGACCATATATTAAGGCAGTAGATATTGCACAGACAAGCCATCCAACTAACATACAAAAGGATTATAATCTTTCCATCAAGGAAGCAAAGAGGTACAAATTCTACCAACATATATTTATGAAACTATAAGAAAGACACCTTACCTTTCCCCCGATCATGACAGTCCTTGGGACAAAGGATTTGCCTGGGTCTTTCCTTATTCCTACAGGGTTAACAAAGAAGGTTAAAATGGGACAATTACTTTAAAAAATCACTTCGTGGTACACTTGATTGATAAAGCCTTTTCTTCACTCCAATATACTTTAAATATCTAACAACAGAGGAAAACAACAAAATGGTATGACTAGAGAAGAAAGGATGGTTCTTCAATGTAGATGAAACATAAAATATGGCACAGTAATTGCAACTTAACTTGCTCAGAAAAATAATTTTCTTCCCCATTAGTGAAAAGTATACGCATTTCCTTTTTTTTCCTGTGTACAACCGAGGTTATTAACAATTGTTAATATTTAAGAGATAAATATAAAGACAGCCACCAAGAATACAGATTACATGTGAAATTTTTCTGAGTGGATCATTTTAACAACTTTAAAAAGATTTGGTCATAAACCTCTCATGAGAAACTCAAAGTAATTTGGGGGATGTTCAACATTACCTGAAAGCCCTTGAATAGACTGAAGGAGAATATTGCCACTGCCATTAAAAGCTCTATCACTAAACTATAATGGGATCACACATTTATAGCTGTAAAGGAACTTACTGGTCACTGAATCTGACTTTTTCATTTTATTTTATTTTTTTATTTTTTGACCTCCCCATTTTATTATTATTATTATTATTATTATTATCATTATTATTATTATTATTGGGGGGGCTAGGCAATAAGGTTAAGTGAGTTGCCCAGGATCACACAGCTAGTAAGTGTTATGTGTCTGAGGTTGGGATTTGAATTCAGGTCCTCCTGAATCCAGGGCCGGTACTCTATCCACCGTGCCACCTAGCTGCCCTGACCTCTTCATTTTAAATTAGGGTTCAGAGTACTGACCTGCTCACTGCCATACAGATAATAATTGATACAACCAGGATTTGCACTCAAACTCTCTGACTCCACATTTAAAGAATAATATTTAGAATCACATAATCCAATAATTTGTTTATACCTGCAAAGGCTCTTAGAGATAATTCCCTCATTTCAAAGATGAAGAAACTAAAGCCCAAGAAGCTAAGTGAATTGTTGTGGCTAATGTGGATAACAAGCAGAAGAGCCAAGACCAGAATTCAGCCCAGCTTCCTCATTTCTGGTTCTTTTCACAAGGTCACTGCGTGGGTATCTTAAATCCACCAATTAAAAAATAAAGATAAGCCGATCTCAGTTTCTCAGGCCCTATTCCATCGGCTTCAACCTGGGCTGAGGGAAGAGAACAGCCTTCACTATCCTCACCAACCATCAAGCTAGAAGTGGATGAAGGCCACATGCCAGTGACAGAAGGAAGATGTTTAATCATACAGCAAATCCACTGGATCAAGGAAAACATAACCTAAGGCCACCAGGAAACCTCAGCCATCAAAGCTGGATTGAGAAAACTACAATTCTTATCAGCAGCCAATGGGGATCAATGAAATGAAGGGCTGCGAGATCACTTCAGCCTTTAACAAGTCCACGTTAAGCAATGTCCCACATGCTTTTAACAGCTTTCCTTCAATATGTTACAATATAATGTTATAGTAAGACTTATAAAGCATTTTGTTTTTTTTTTAAATCTCATTTGATCCTAAGAGTTATGACAGATATTGTAATCCCTGTTTTATAGGTGAGGAAATAGGTTAAGGGAAGTTGTAATTTGCCCATGGACCCAAAGTTATTATAAAAGTGGGCTGTGTGGGGCAGCTAGGTGGCGCAGTGGATAGAGCACAGGCCCTGAAGTCAGGAGGACCTGAGTTCAAATCTGGCCACAGACCAAACATTTGACACTATCTGTGTGACCCTGAGCAAGTCACTTAACCCCAACTGCCAAAAAAAAAAGTGAGATGTGAACCTTCTTGCCTCAAAGTCTAGTCAGAGACCTATCTGTTACAGCTGACCCTGACCAATGTACCTTTTGTCATACTAAGTTTTTATATGTCAGTCTTCTTCATCAAATCTACTAAAGTATGCAATGTGATCTGTTTTATTTTAGTCCTTTTAATACCACCACCTAGCACTGTGCCTTAAAGATAGTAGGATAGAGCACTGGCCCTGGAGTTAGGAGGACCTGAGTTCAAATCTGACCTCAGACACTAACTAGCTGTGTGACCCTGGGCAAATCACTTAACCCTGACTGCCTCCAAAAATAGAAGACAGCAGGAGCTTAACTAATTGAACTGAAAATTACTCTGAACCTTCACAATAGACAATAAAGATTTCTTTATTTTTAGAAATATGTTATCAATTTCATTGAAGGGTTGTAAAGATTAACCCAACTTGTGGCAATTCTAAGGTATTTTACCAACAGAGAGCCAGTGGTCCCAAATAAGCTCCAAACAGTTGAGGGAGCCATGTCTACAAGACCAAGCTGCTGAAGGAATTCTATCTTTCTTACAAAGGTAATTTTCTTTATTTTTAATATGACTCCATCATATTTTATAGAGCCTGGTAAGCAAGGCTGGAAAAGTCTAAGTTAAGTACTTCTAAAGCTTAATAAACCAATTGTATATGGTTTTAAAAGAGAAAATGCCCTATAAAATTCAAATAGCTCTGAGAAGATTTCCTCACTGGCCTCACCCTGAATATGTCATGTTGGATCTCAATTTTAAGCCTATGCTCCTAGAATCCTCCTCACTGAAATCCTCCTCTTTCCCATCTATTGCAAGCCTTTATTCCAACCCTTACATTTTCAAGCACCCTTCCTGCTTGAAGCCTTTCCTGTCAGCTCCCATCCTTAATGATATTATTCCCTTTTCTCTGAATTCTCATGGTACTACTTACTGTCCAGATCATTTACATCTCAGGATCTGATTAAAATAAACACCTCGTGTTGTTAATGAATTATTTCACATGTGTAAGTTTCTGTAATTCTGACTAGATTTTTTTTAGTTCCTGAAGGCAGTAACTCTGTTTTACTTATTTTATATTCTCCTCAATGCACAGTAGTGCTAGGAACAAAGTAGGTATTCAATAAGTACTTTCTAAATGAATGTCTTGATAATTTTTTCAAGTTTTGTTTACATATTTTATCTAGAAAGCTGATATCTATTTATTGATAGATAGATAAAAACTTTCAGTTCAGGTCAAAATAAACTTAATTTTAGGAAAACAGAACATGTTCTTTGTTCCCCTATGAATCACTAAAAAGATCTGAGACCCACAAAAGTCGTATCTCACTTATGCCAAAAGACTCCATTCTACTAGTGGAGAAAAAGTAAGCACAACCATTCAACATTAAGGTAACAAGATTTGATATTTATTAATTAGAAAATGGTAATTTAATTTAAAAGACAATCTTTGACACAAAAGATCAAAAATATGAGGTAAAAAATTACCCTCCATTTCTCAGAAAGCTAACTTAAAACTGTGTAAACAACTATTAGCTGGCATTGGTGTAAGAAATAGCATAATTTCAATCTGGAACCTGATGTAGCAAAAAAAAAGGAATTGAATTTGGAGTGTGAATCCCAGATCTGTTACTGTGACCTTAGAGATGTTAATTTCCTAAACTGTGAAATGAGGTGGCTGGGCTACATGATAACTAAAATCTTTTCTAACCCTAGATACTATGACGCTAAAAGTGAAACACAAGTCTATTATCCCAAATTGCCCTCTCTTTGGTATGATCCACTGGTTGAGGGGAAATGACTGTTAGGCCACTATAAATGAACTATAAGAGAGAAGAATAGTAGAGGAACGACAAAATGAAATGAGAACTGAAGAGGCATAGGAAATTGTTGGGAACAAAGGGGCCCTAGAAGGAGGAAAATAATGAAGTTTTTAAACTATCACAATCATGAAATAGTTAGTGCCCCACTGAAACCTGAAATGCTAAAGAAGTCAACACTTACGGTTGTAGAGTGTGATGATGTGTAAGCAGTTCAGCAGCTGCCTCTTGTACTCATGGATTCTCTTCACATGCACATCAAACATGGAAAAAGGATTGATTTTCACCTTGTATTCCTGCTCTAAGAAGGCAGAAAACTTCAATTTGTTTTCCTAGGGAAAAGAAAACATAAGGAAACATTTGACTTTTTCTTGATTTTCTTTTTGCCTGGCAAATATTATGATGTTGTCCAACAACAGCTTTAAGGATCTAAGGATATGCCAAGTACCCAGCTATTCCTGTTCCCTAAAGGAAAGCATTATTGATTCAGCTCAGACACAGCACTTTTTCCCATTTTGCTGGAAATCTAATGGGGATGGAAAAATTCATAGATAGTCAAAGAAGGGTAGGGGAGACAGAACACTGTAAGCCTTAAAAGATCAGAGCTGAGAGGAAAAGATTAGACCAGGAGTGGGGATCCTGAGGCCTCAAGGCCACACATGGCCCTTTGACTGATCAAAACTTCACAGAATAAATCCCCTTAACAAAAGGATTTGTTCTGTAAAACTTGGACTCAGTTAAAGGGCGGCAGGATCCCCACTCCTAGATTAGATCAAACAGCAAGTGGGAGAAAGAGGTGCCAAAATAAAAAGGAATCACTGAATGTAGAAAAGAGGGCAAGTACTAGAGAATGCAAAGAGTTAAGAGAAAGAAGAAGAAACAATAATGATCACTTTAAAACAAAGTATCACTAGCATTATGTTAAGTTAAACATTTGGGAAAAAGAAATCAACTTTGTACTATGAAATTTTTAAAATGGAAGAAACACCATCAGATACAAATCAATAAGGAAAGGAATTCTGTTGTATTTTACTTCAAGGTAGCTATACAGGGATTCAGTTTTTAGTTTAAAAGCCTTCAAATTACATAAATTCAGCTTTTTATTAACATTGCCAAAGGTCACACTGTCAGCAAGTTTTTAAGATAAAACCAGGCTACAGTAAGAGACTGTTAAGATACGCTTTTTAACCAACAAAGCACACAGCCTAAACTACTACTCTTCAGTGGTTTTCCATAGCTATGACACAATTTCACTTCAAAACAAAAGGTGTTTATACTACTCAATCTGACAAATATCAGAGGCATCTAGGTGGCAAAGTAGACAGAGCAATGGGTTTGGAGTCAGGAAGATCTGAGTTTTAATCCTGCCTCAGTTGCTTACTAGCTGTCTGACTCCAGGCAAGCCACTTAACCACTCCTAGTCTCAGTTTCCTCATCTGTAAAATGGGATGATAGCATCCGTGTGAGGTGTGAAAGATACAAAGACAAAACCAAAATGTCCCTGCCCTCAAGGAGCAGAGTTGCTCCTTCAAGGAGTTTGACCAGGGGGATTTATGCACAAAAGCAAGAAATTAAAAGACTATGTAGAGCAATACAAAGCAATTTCAAGAGGGAGACAGTATGAAAAACTATGAGGATAAGGAAAAGTCTTATGTAGAAGGTGACACCTGAGCCACGCTTTGAAGGGAGGAAGGGATTCTAAGAGATGGAAATGAGGATGGAGTGATACGCAAATATGGGAGAATTAACTGAAAAATCCCAGGAGAAGATGGAAAGTTATACCCTGGTAATAGCTAACAGTCCAGTCTGGATGGGAATGCAGAGAACATGAAAAAGAATAATATGAAACAAAAAAGAAACGGATAGGTGGGAGCCAGATTACAAATAACTTTTAGTCAAAGGTTAAGGAGTTTATTTTTCCCAGAGGCAAAAGGAAGCCAATGAAGAGCAGGGGAATGACATAGTCACACCTGTGCTTTAAAATATCAATTTGGCAGCTGTGTGGAGAATGGGTTGGAGAAGAGATTGGAAGTAGAGAGACAAGTAGGAAGCAACTCATTTGAGAGGCGATAAGGATCTGCACGAGGGTAGAGACTTCAGCAAAGGGAAAAGAAGCAGACAATTGCAAGATATGCTACAAAAGTAAAATAGGTAAACAGTAAAAAAAAAGTAATAAAAAAAAGTAAAATAAAATTTATTAACTGACTCTGGATACCAGTGGAAATTAAGGGAAAGGAAATAATCAAGAGTATTATTATTGTTAATCAAGACTATAGGATTACAAATCTGAGTGACTGGAAGGATGGTAGTGACTCAATAGAAACAGAAGTTTAGAAAAGGGGTGGATTCATTCATTCAACAAGTATTAATTAGAAATAAGAGAATAAATTTTTCAGCAAAGAACTGTTTTTGTGCAAGTGTTACATACCAAACTTATTCACCAATCTGCACGCAGTAGATACTTACTTTTATTTTTCTTTTTAAAACTGAATTAGACTGTTAACCATAGTCCACATGGAGTAATTCAATTGCTGAGTTTCAAATGCTCAATGTACTGATTTCACAACTGCTATATATGCTATAAATATTCTAGAGTTAGTTAGGAAAAAGGAATTGGGAGTTACAGAGTAATTTAGAGTGAGAAAATGCCAGGAAAACTTTGTTCACACCCCTATTACCTGTTTGATTTTGGCCACATCCCTGATGAATGCTTCATCATTGATCAATGGCAAAAGCTTCTTCAGCTGACTTAAATCAGTGAGAAAATCTTCCCCAATTTTCTAAGAAATGCAAAAAAAGCATTAGTTGCTAAGAGTGGCTGTGCCTTTTGATACACTGAAAAGGAATTCAGTGCCAACATGGCATTCCTATTAATGCTGTTGAAACAACCACTTTCGTTGAGGCATTTCCCTTATTTTCATATCCCTTTAAAAGCGCCCAGTCCAAGCTACTTAACTTGCTGACGCAGCAGGTGCTTCCACCCCCACTTTATAATCAATAATTAATGGAGGCTGAACTTTTCTCCCACATTTTAACAAAAGACTGTTAACATTACCATGTACTCAATGCTACAAACCTTAGAGCTAGTCACCATGTATACTATTAGTTCAAAAAAGCTGCCCAATTAAAAGATGAGAGATTTCTTTTCAGTTTCAGCTAAAGACCTGAAACAAAAAAGAACCTTCTCAACTGGAAGAATCACCAACGTCTAATCCTGCTGTATCCTAAACTGCACTCACTTCTACTGACCTGTGAGTCTTAAGGGTAAGCAATGTAAGGTCAACTCTGGTCCTCACCTCCACAATGACCTCTGCCAGACCTGGATTGCACAACAGTAGCCACCGTCTGGGAGTAATGCCATTTGTCTTGTTCTGGAACTTCTCTGGCTCCAGTTCATAAAAATCTTTAAAACTAAAAAATAAAGGAAATAGAGAAAGGTCATAGAGTGGCTTTGTTTGGAACAGGATAAACAAGATCTTTTAAGACCCCTTTTGCTTAAAAAAAAAAAATGGCTTCCAGAACTCAAACATACATAAAACACCTAAGACGGAACTTCTAAAATTATCACCCTCCATCAGCAGAGCACTTCATTTATGTATGTGCATAGGAACGGTCTGGCCAACGTACTTTGGCATGCATTCTTTATGCAGATGAAACAAATCTGGGAGGTAAGTAGGGCAGGAATGGTGAAAGAAAGATTTGACTGTGTATACGGAAGGTGAATTTTAGATTGAGTTCTTATTGTAAATACCAGTGGAATGTTGGATTCTCTAAATGAATTCAAAAGCATTATGGCAGGGCAGCTAGGTGGCGCAGTGGATAAAGCACCAGCCCTGAAGTCAGGAGGACCTGAGTTCAAATGCGGCCTCAGACCAAACACTTGACACTTACTAGCTGTGTGACCCTGGGTAAGTCACTTAACTCCAATTGCCTAAAAAAAAAAAAAACAACCAAAACAAAACAAAATCATTATGGCAGCACCATTCCTGTTCTCTAGATTAGCCCTCTAGTCCCTCTAGATAGCCTTCCTACTCAGCATTAGAACGTAAACTTCTTGGGGGCAAAGGAATTTTTTCTTTTTATACCTAGCACAGTGTCTTGCAAATAAGAGTCATTTAATAGATACTGAGTTGAGGTAAACATTGTTTTCAGGCAGGAAAAGAAATATGGAAAGGTTATGGGTTATGTTGGTATGGCATAGTGCAAAGTCTGAGGTATCTGGAGCTAGAAGATCTGGGTTCAAGTCTTGACTCTACTTACTATCTGGGTTTCCTAGAACAAGTCACTTTATTTCTATTAGTCTCAGTTTCCTCATTAATAAAATTAGAAGAAAAAAAGAGAAAAAAATAAAATTAGAATTAGTCTAGATTATTTCTAATGTCTCTTCCAGTGGGAAAGTTCTATGGTCTATTGAGAAAGACAACAAGTCTCTCACCTACCATTACTCCAGAACAATGTGAAACTAGCTGATGGTCTCAATTATTTGTGGATCAAATTCTAACGTTAGCCACTACCTTGACAGTGGCTTCCCTTATCCACTATCTCAAGAGAAACAAAGGAGGATAAGAGGAAAGGGTTGAAAGAATCCCTGCCTATCTGACGAGATGGTTTCTTTAAGTTTAAGGGTAGGGAGGTAAACTGCTGGTTAATGGAATACTTAGACCACTGTACCACAGCAACGTCATCTTAATGGAGAAATACAACAACTTTCATTGAGATTTAACCCTCAATGAAATGAAACTTTATGCCAATACCTAAACCTTGGATCTTCCTGACCTGTCTGCTCCACTTAATAGCAGACAGCTATACAAAAGGCCATATTTACCACACTGAACTAATTACGTGTTTCATGACGTCAATAGGCTGTTATATATGTAAAGTACATGGTTCAATATGGTATGGTATTCTTGGTGACAGGAGCAGGGCACAGAAGTGGATTAAGTCCTTTAGATTTCAAAGGCATGTGTCTGGATTTAAGTCTAAGTACATTCAATGGCACTCTCCAGGCACTCACACAGAATTCTTCACAATCTCTGAATGAATTCTTGCTACTCCGTTGACAGCATGGGACCCAATCACACAAAGGTTGGCCATGTTAATCCTTTTACAGTCTCCCTCCTCAATCACAGACATCCTCCTCAGTCGGTCCACATCCCCAGGAAACATGGCAGCCACATTCTGTCACCAAGGTATAAAGAAACATTAGTGGCTTCCCTCTCTGAATCCAGAGCTCATAAGGATGACTAAATATTCCCTTCCCCAGACACATAGAAAGGATTTTCTGCTTCTCCCGCCAAAATCACAGAGCACAGTGGAGAACAATGGCAGCAAATGCTCTCAAGTATCTTACTAGAGTTGCCCACATCACGCCAACCCAATACTAAATGCTACTAATTCTGTTTTCATCATTTCCTGGCACTAATAGAAAAAACAGACTTGAGACTAAAATTTTAAAGTATCTATATTTTGCTTTTTCATACACTATTGAATACTACAAGGTATAATGGTTAAAATACTAGGTTGTGAGTCAAGAAAGCCTGCTTCCAAATCCTCCCTTTGATATTTACTAGCTGTGTGACCCTAGATCAGGGATGAGGAACCTGTGGCCTCCAGGCCTCAGGCTCCCCACCCCTGCCCTAGAGAAACCATTTAATCTCTATATGTCTGAAGCAACTTCCTTAGACTTATCTACTAAGTTACTGACAGTAACTGACAGGTTACAATGTGTGCAGGGAGGCAGAGTCCATACTACAAGTGCTCCATGCGTTCAAAATCACACCGCCTTTACATATTATATAATATATGCAAGACAGAAGCCTGCTGCCAGTACAAGGAACAAAAACACAATTAGTACTGGACCATGTAGGTCCAGTTTTAATCAGTATGGGATTCCTTCCCTGGCTCCAGCAAAATAAAGAAACAAAAACTAACATACAACTTCCTAAACAGAGTTCCTACTTTAATTATTATGGCAGCCATTTCAGAATTCTACCGGTAGGTATGGAGTTGAATCAGAAGGTCTATAGCTAAGGGCAGCTGGGTGGCGCAGTGCACAGAGCACCGGCCTTGGAGTCAGGAGAACCAGAGTTCAAATCCAGCCTCAGGCACTTAACACTTACTAGCTGTGTGACCTTGGGCAAGTCACTTAACCCCACTGCCTAGCCCCCCCAAAAAAAAAAAAAAGGCTTGATCATTAACTAACTATCCCTAACAGTACTATGACATATACCCTAAATATACCATGGGGGCTAAAATAACCTATAGCCTTTTAAGTCATCTCTCAGAGTTCACTTAAAGGAGAATAAGTTGAAGATAATTCCCCACCAAGACTAAATCATATTATATTTTCCTTTCCCCATCCTCTCAGCATGAGGGGTGGCCTCATTCTTACATCCAAGTGCTTCTGATTAACAGCATAGATAATCTCCAGGTGTCTGGGCAGTAACTTCTCAAACATGGAGACAGGCCAGCGCTCCAGGGCCTCAGGCAGGACGGTGTGGTTGGTATAGGCACATGTCTTTTTGGTGATCTCCCAGGCCTAGAAGGAGATTAGAACACTTAAGTTAAATACAACTTTTTTTTTTTAAAGTCACCTCTTTCCTCAGCAGGGTAAGACAAACTAAAACTCAGGAGAGGAAGAGTGGAGACACAGATCCAACCTAAAAGTATGGAAAAACTGCCACTGTTGACAGCCTGCACTGTTGACATCCTGGGCAACACTGCCCTCTCCTGAAGGATAAAGAGTATAACAAGACCATACATCAAAACCGGCATTGTGATTACAGGACTGCAGCCATTTCAGAGAGAATACCCACAAATTTATGGCTGAGATGGGTTGTTTTGGTACTCTGTAAATATAGGAAAAATCCATGTATGACTTCACAGGGTGATCCCTTTTTTTCTAGGGGAAAAGTCAACCACAGGAGCTTCCAAGGCTACAATAAGTGGGTCACGAGATCCAAATATACTTTATTACTTACTCTCTGAGGTTTCTTCCTCTTAACTCTACACTAAGGAAAAAGATGCAAGAATCCCTGACTAATGTGCCAGAATCCTTCTCCACTCCCCAAATGATTATATTGTTTGCTCTCATCTTTCTACTACATGTGTACTACTCAATAAGCTTTCCTTCCTTTCATTCACAAGAAAAATTTAGGAACTTTTCTCAGAATGATCTTTACTGTCTTCTCATTGACCATTTCTCTTTCCCAATAACCTCTTATTTCAATTATAGTCCTTCCCAGGAAGGCAACAGAGCTACCTCCTATTTCACAGAATCGAGAGACAGTAATTGAGGAATTCACATAGAAATGTTAGTATGTGGATAAGCTAAAGTAATTGCGCTATACTTTTAGAACACAGAAAACACCAACTTTCTTTCCCTGACCCCCGGGGGGGGGGAAGGGGGACCCTTGCTCTTACCTTATCCCAATCCACCTTTTCAACATCCACTAGGATTCTCATGAGTTCTGGAATTGAGAGTGCTGGGTGGGTATCATTGAGCTGAATGGCAACCTGGAATTGAAATCAATAATTTTGGACTATATTCATATCTTTCCTCTACAGTTCAGCACAAGGACCACAACTGACACAATGTGAGTTACTGACAAGAACTTCTACAGTAGCAAATGAACCCAAGGTTGTCAGGGAGCCCAGGAAGGAGGTAAAAACTCAACATGACATCTATGACACTAATCTGTTACTTTTGCCAGGAATATGAGTTGGGGATTAAGGAGAAAAGAGCAGCTTTCTCCTCCTGGTAGCAATACCACTGTCTGGAAGGCAGTGTTTGGAGCTAGGACACAAGATGCTAAGTTGGAGCTGGAGGGGACCTCTGAGGTAATCGAAGCCAACCTCCTCATTTTACAGATGAGAAAACTCAGGAAGGTCAAGTGGGTGACCTCTAGTCACACAAGTGACAAGTGGCAGAACTGGGATTTGTATCTAGATCCTCGACTCCAAATCCAAAACTCATTCCACTGTATCACGAACCCCCCCCCAATTAAATACATATAAGAATAACGTGTTTTCTTGTTCAGTCGTTTTTCAGTTATGTCTGACTCTCTGTGATCCCTTTTGGGGTTTTCTTGGCAGAGATACTGAAGAGGTTTGCCATTTCCTTCTCCAGCTCATTTGATGAATGAGGAAACTGAGGTAAACAGGTTAAGTGACTTGCCCAGGGTCACAAAGTTAGTTAAGTGTCTGAGGCTGGATTTGAATGAAGAAGATGGAGTGTTCCTAACTCCAGGCCTGGCATCCTATCCACTGAGCCACCTAGCTGCCCCATATACAAGAACAGTGGATGCTGACAAGTTTCCTGTGAAGCCAATTTATCATCACTTTGATGCTGGTGAATGATTATCAATGAGAGGATGAATGAACATCTGTAGTATCTTATTCCTGTCTCTGAATGTTTAAGTAATATTCTATCTAAGACATAATTTCTTTAAAAAACAACAAGTAGAAAAAAGGCCAAGGAAATAATTTTCCCCCCTTAACCTCAGCTCCCCATTCCTATGACATGGGAATAGGAGGTTTCCAGGAAAGTAACAAAGTAGACAGAAGACTTTAGACAAAGAAGTAGGTTTCTGCATTTGTCCTAGTATTCAATAATAGACAATGAAACCATCACTATGGCGTGAACAGTCAACCTGAAGAATTGAGACTATAGACACATTACACTGTGCAAAGGACAAAGCTAAATACCAAACATAAATAAATAAATAAATGGCAGGGTTACAAAGAAGAATTTAGGCCCAAGCCGTACCTTGTCTGGGAAAGTTTCAAAACTGGTTCTCACTGGATCCCGGCAGCCAAACTTGGAAGACTTGAAGCGGCGAATGATATCTTGGAGAGTAGCAGCCACCACAAAGTATTCTTGCTTCAGTCGGAGCTCTTTTCCTTCAAAAAACTGTATAGAAAGAAGTCTACCTGTGATTTGGGCTCTGCTGAAGAGGCTGAGGCAAATGAAATGACCAGAGCTAAACTCTAGGGGAGCCAGGGACGAGTGGAAAGCCAGGCAATCACCATGCTGATAGGGACAATCATGGCAACAATGGATTTCCGTGTAATGCTTTAAAGTTTCCAAAGTATGTGACATATCTCACGTGAGCTGAACAACTCTGCAAGGTAATAATACCTCAGGTATTATCAGTCCGATTTTATGAACAAGAAACTTGCTAAGTCATGAAAATTGCTCAGGATCACACAGTGTCAGAGGCAGGATTTGAACAAAGAACTTCCTGATTCTAAGTCCAGCATTCTATCCACCCTGCCAGTGGTTTCCAAAGAGGGGAAAAATCCCAAGAAGGCCGAAGCCTGACCCCAAAGTCTATGTGATCAACTACTGGCAGGGTGGGAGGATGGATGGACTCTGACTTTCCCCAAAATACCTCACCTTGCAGCTGGTCTCCACAACTACCTTTACCTTGAAACTCTCCTTCACTGTGCCCTCTTCCTCTGCTGTGCAAGCTCCCAATCTTCCCCTTTCTGAGCCAGACCCAACACTGACCTGAAACCCACAGGAGAAACTGTGTAGGGACCCTTGGGAAAACTCACTCTCCTCCTGCCCCCCAGTTACCCCCTGGCTGCAGCAAATGCCTTTTGGAAGGCACAGTCAGCACTCTGGGGCAATGGTCTGGGGGAGTAAAGGCCTGCTCCCTCCCCCTTTTCATTCTGTAGGGGACGGAGTCTTACAGGATGAACAGGCAGGGACAGGTTGTGAGCAAATCATTTAACTCCTCTATGCCTCAGTTTCCTCATCAATAAAATGGCAGTTTTACACAAGTTACAACAGCACCTATCTCACAAGGTTGTTGTGAGGATGAAATGAGATAACACCCAAAAAGCACCTTGCAAAGCGCTATACAAATGCTAGCTGTTACTCTTATTATCTTTCCCTGCCCCAGCCCCTGAATTTATACTTCTCCCCAACTTCTCCACAAATGTCAAGGACACCACCATCCTCCCAGTCCCCTAACACTCACAAGCTCACTATGATCCCAGACTCCTCATTCTCGCTCACCTCAAACATCCATATCAGCTGCCTAATCTTGTCCTTTCCATCTCCCCCTCTCATATCTGCCTGTCTTCCCTGTACTCACACAACCACCAGCCAAGTTCAGGCCCTCATTATCATCCCTCACCTGAAATACTGAAAAGGCCTCCTACTCAGTCTCTATGCCCCAAGTCTCTCTCCCATTCCAACCCAACCTCAACACAGCTGGCAATGTGATTTTCTTAACGTGTGGGTCTGGCTGACCATGTCACTTCCCTATTCAATACATTCCAGTGGTTCCCTATGAACCTTAGGATCAAATACTATTTCATCTTTATCCTCTCCTTTCTAAATTTCAATTTTTGTTTTATAATGTACATAATAACTAACGTAATGGTACATGTACATCATTTAAAAATAAGCAAATATATGTGTACATGTTCAAAAATTTTACTGATAAGGGCATGCAATCAAAAAAGTTTAGAGACTACTATTGTTCCATACCATGCTGCCCCTGAGGCCAAAAACCTGCAAGGCTGGGAGGAGTTCCTCTGCCTCTTTTCCAAACCTTATGGTGGCTTGAAAACCCTTTAGGGCACCCACTCTAAACCCAAGAGGCTCCAAGACTCTTCTGACTGTTATTATCCTTTTTTTTTTTTTCCATCTGGGGTGGAAGTGTAAGGTTGGAGTTGGGAACAAACCTGCCAAATTCCCTGGTCAACCATAAAGTCTTTACAAGAAGTCAAGTACTTAACTAAGTTTTCTTCTCAGATCTACTACACATAGGAAAATAGAGCCATCAAATATTTAATATAATAACAATGAGTACTCTTTAAAAAAAAAAAACTCAACCACCACAAAGAGTACTCCAAATAGGGAGCCAGCTACTCTAAATAATTATATTAACAATCAAACAAACCAAATATTCGAATCTTCAAAACACTGTTTTAAAACGTGATGATCCTGTGGGGTAGAAGAAGCTTCAAAACACTGTTCTCTTCCTACCAAAAGCAGAACTTATATAGTAATAGGAAACTTGCACACATCAGTGATACCAGGGACAACTTACTTAATAAATGAAAGAAGTGGAGGCCAAATATTTTAGGAACTTGACCAAAGGTTAAAAATGGGTCAATACTAGGACCCAGAGCATAGGCGAAGAGCCATGGGTGCTTAGTTTTATGCTCTCCAAAAGCCTCAAAAAATAAAATAAAATAAAATAAAAAAGGCCCAACAAGAGCTACTTCAAAAAGAAATGAAAATATATGACAAATTGAGCTAGGAGAGGGAGAGAAGTTAGAACATGAGAGAAAACTTTAGGATGCTTACTGGTAGCACAAGTAAAGAGTCACAAAAGGCACAGCAAGGCCATATTGGTAACAACAATTTATCTTGTAAGAAAAAAAAAAGCCCACTCTAATAGACCTCTAGTTAGTATTAATGTGAGACTGACACCTATGAAAAGCACAAATTATTATTACATTCTTCTTCAAGGTCAGCAAATTCAAGGCCTGTTGACCTCTAAAGATTTTAAAACCTTGCATTTTCATTTTTATTCACTTGAAAGATGTGCAATGCTACCACCTTGATTTATCATAGACCTGTGATTTCATCAGTGTCACTTCCACTGACATAGATTAAAGTCTGTCTATACTTTATAGATTCAGTGTTGCCTGAGGGGTCAGAGAACCTAAGTGATTTACCCATGGACCTAGAGTTAGTTTATTTGAATCAAGGCCTTCCTGATTTCAATTTAGTTCTCTACAGTGCAATGCTGCTTGTATAATGCTAACAATTAATGTCTACATCATGCCACTAATATGTTTTAATGCTAATAAGAGTAAAAGAAATTACTACTCACATTATCATTTGGATACAAGACCCTGGAGATGTTTTCAGCCAGATTTCTATCCAGAACAGCTTGAATATAGTCACCCACATTAACTAGAGAAAAAGAAAGCTCATTAGCATATGTGTTAATTTTCTCAAAATACTAACAGGGCTTTATCAAATGAGGACATTACTTTCTACTAATTTCTATGTTCTTATAACAGTCTAAGCCAAAGAACCATTTCTGAATAGTATGCCATTCTAACTAAAAACTGATTTTTTTTGCCTTCCTCTCAGCCCCATCTTTAAAACAGGAAAGACTCTCTAGATCTTTGCTTAAAATTCTTGAAGGCAAGAGATCCCAATTAACTATAAATGATGAGCTCAAGCCAATCCTGATGACCATGATTTGTCTAGTTCTGTGAATCTGGTGTTTGGCAGGCCAAAGTATGAAGTAAAGTTGGGGGACTTCATTTGAAAAGAAATCATTTCTGAAGCACAAATAAATCCTCTCTCTACAATAGAACACAATAGGACTGATTCCCAACCTTTCTAGTTACACAGGCGCTGGGTAAACAGTCTTCTGGACCTCAAAATAAAGTCCACCTATCGATAACAAGCATAAAGAGAATAAAATGATGAACGTCTGGACTGATTCTGAAGACAACGTGGTAATAAATGGTTAAGTGGGCAAACATCTGGAACGACCCAATTATAACTAGGGATAGGGACCAGACCTGTGATTTCATTAGTAGTGAACTCCCAGGTAAGGAACTCCTCTCCAAATGCAGGCTGGCACCCTCTCTGCAACTTAGAGAGTTCCCTAAGGAGGTTAAGTGACTTGCGGTGGGTCACACGGCCAGAATGTGTTGGAGGCAGTATCTGAACACGGGTCTTCCTGGCTCCAAATCCGGCTCTCTATTCACTAAATTTGGACCAGGTGAAAACCAAAGGCTTTTTACCTCAAAGTATGATAGTCTAAAAAGATAAGTTAATTGCAAAAAGTATCATAGTGATAGAGAATTTCAGAGTTGGAAAGGATCACAGGGACCAAACTAAAAAAAGAATCCTCCCTACAAAATATCGAGTAAGTGAAATTGACTGAAGACCTCCAATAAGAGGGAACCCACTAACCCCCATGACAGCCAACTTTTGGCAAGAACTAACTGCTAGAAAGTAGTTCCTTACATAAAAGGCTAAATTTATTTATGTGCTTAGTTCTGCCCTCTGAGTCCAAACAGAACTAACTAATCCTTCTTTGTGACATCCTTTAAATACATAAAGATGGCTATCATGTCCACTTCCTCACCAAGTTTTTTTCTCCAAGTTAAATATCTGCAGTTCTTTCAATTGATCCCTCCTCTGCCACAGCCTCAGGGCCCTTCAAAATCATGCTGCTCTTCTCTGGATGTTCTCCAGAATCCTAACGTGCTTGCTAAACTACAATGCCTAAAACTGAACACAATACACTAGATATAGTCTGACTGGGACAGAAGATAAGCTATGTCTTTTTTAATGTAGCCTTAGATTGCATTAGCTTTGAGCTCATGGTTCACTAAAACCTCTAGATCTTTCTCAGATGAACTACTATCCTATCCTATATTTGTGAAATAGATTTTTCAAGCCCAAATATAAATTAGTTATTTATTTTACTTTTTCAAATATCTTCGTGAAAATTTAGTTGAGAAAACAAAACAAAAAACCAATACCACCTCCGTTTCTTTTATATACTTAAGCTAAACAGCCCAATTTACCAGAACACTGCTGTCTACCTCTTGCCAACATTTATTTCCACAATAACCAATGACCAATACCCAATACCCACACTCAAACAAATAGTTCCTGTAGACTGTGCCTTGGTAGGTACCCATAGCGCCAGCTTATGAATGTTAAAACTGTTTCTAACCATTCTACATGTTATTTTAAAGCAACAAAAGAATTTTAGGAACAAGATAAAAAATACTTTGTAAAAAGGTGCCCAGTTATTGCTTATATCTCAGGTCAGGAGGAAAAAGGAAAAGACAGTAATTATTGGTGAAATATGATTATAATGATATGACACTCACATTCTTGAAGGTTGAAATCATTGGGTGCCTTAGCAGACCACAGCCTCATCGTGTTAACAGTGTTATTTTTGTATCCTGGCACTGGGGTATCATAAGGCATTGCAAGCACCACCTGTAAAGCAGAAGTCACTCCTTGTTTTTCATTTTATCAAGTTTAAGAAGCAAGGTCAACAAAAAATACACTTCATTAATGACTTTTCTAATCCTGATGCTCTAGAGAGTTGATTTTTTTTATTTAATGGAGATGGGAAGTGACAAGAAAAGATACCAAAAAATGATAGTTTTGTTTCTGGAGATAAACATGCATTAACTTAAAATAAGCTTGACACAAAGGAGAGGGAGCTTGCTGAATTTAAAAAAATCGTGGACTCAGGAGTCTAATGTTGACGTAAATTTCTGTCGTCACATATTTTCACCCAGCTCTCCAGCTCCAATCTCAACTAGTTCTAAGTTTCCTGGGATCTTTAGTAAAAACTATGGAGAACAAAGTTCTAAGCAAATGGACAGATATATTCTGGGTACTGTCACATTACAAGCTTCAAAGATGTTCCTGCTAACCATCTAATTACAAAAACTTTTTTTTTTTTACTAAAAAGAAAAGATGACTAATCTGAAACACTATGAAGGCCTTCCAAAGGAAAACTGCCCTTTTCTCAATCTTAATAAATATTTACTGATTGACGTGGAACTGTTTTTTCTCTTTATAAGGAAGATTCAATTGGAGGGGAAGATCTCCAGAAAGAACTGTGATATGAAAACAAAAATGTAAATAAAACTAATTTTTAAAAAGATCACCAGTAAGATTAGCCAAAATTTCTGAAATCCTCCAAGGAAGTAAATGAAGATAAGTAATAGTTGAGGAACTGCATCACTGAGAGGTCAAATATGTTGATACATAATCATTTATGATAAGACTAACATTTATATAGATTTATAATCAAGAAAGCCATTTTCTCACCATAATCCTGTGAGGTAGTAGTTTATGTACCACTGAGGCTTGGGGAGGTATGGCAGCTCTACCCAAGTTCACACCATTAACAAATAACAAGCCAGGTCCTGAGTCTGGTTTTTTAACCCCAAGTCCAAGGCTCTTTTCAACTTTACAGCACTGAGCTCACCACAACAAGGCCTCCCCCATCACTAAGATGAGGTAGATATGTATTAGAATTCAACCACTACAGAATCCCCAAATTATACATTAATCTCTCAATAAGTATTTTGTGCTGAAGTTCCAGTGGACCTAATCTAATTTTCAATCTTCCCCCAAAGAATGAATTAAATATCTAGGTGCTCTGCCATGAAGTGGAGGCTATGAGACAGGAGAAGAATTTAAGGCTCATTACAAGTGACTTCATCATCACTTGTTCTGGGCAGCTTTTTAGGGGACGCTCCATTGGAAAGCTGACATCTACATTTATTTCCTTCCTACCTTCCTACCCCAACCTAAGATGAACCCTCTGTCTCTGCCAAAATACCATTTTCTCTATAAACTCCAACAATAAACTAGATAATATATACATAACTGCTGCTTTATCACTAGTATTCAACCCCTAATAAACTATAAAGAGGGGATTCCTTTGCATGTTGAACGACTGGCTTTGTCTCCGCTAAACATTTTCTTCTAAGTGAAAAAATGTCCACGTTACAAGAAAAAGAAAATGTTCCATCTGGCCTTTGGTGCTTTGAGCTAAACCCTACATGGCTGTAGCAGATCTCATAAAGCACACAGGGCTGCAGTACAATAAAACTATACAACTACATCTTTGTACCTGGTTCATTTAATTCGACTCTATCTGACTCTACTTTTCTCCTACTACTTGTAATACCTGAGTATCCAACCATTTCACACCATCTGCAGTATGCTCCACTCGGCCATAGAAATGCACAGGAAGCATGTATTCAGGACGGGCCTTTTCCCAAGGGTTGCCGTAACGTAGCCAATCATCAGCTTCTTCAACCTAAAACAAAACAAAAAACACTCAGCAATCATTTCAGTTCCTCGAAGAATGGAATTATCTTTATTGTGTCCTTTGTACCATACCTAGGGCATTGATACAAACCAAAAAAATCAAGACATACTGGTGAAGTTGCTTAAAATTGTATCGTAACAATTGGTTTTAAGAATGATCTTCTTCTATGGATTCTTGAAGAATCCAAAGATTTTTTTTTTCCTGTGTAGAATTCTGTGTTATCTACTCAATGTACCAAGATGGGTCTCAAAATAAATACTTAGATGAATCCATGAGCTCTTCAATGCAGGTACTCCCTCCAACAGTACTAATCCCAAGGTAAAAGTAAGTCTCCCCAAACCTACCAATAAATGAAAGTGGCAAGGCAGAATTTAATATGGCATAATATATTAAGTGATAGTATGCAGTAGTTGTTTTTTTTAAGGTAAATTTATACTGCTTGCAGAAAAAAAATAGGTCTACTTTGGGGGAAAAGTGAGTAGAGAACTGAGGAATTTAAAATCAATTATATTTTTAGGCAAAGATCTAATTCTTATTTCTTTAAGCATGACACATGGGGTACTATAAGGCCTAATGACATGCTGCTGGGAGGAAAGTGATATGGGATAATGATATTCAGAAAAATATAAGGAAAGGATGAAGTTTTTGTCCTCTCATGAGTACTAGTTCCTCTCCCTCCATTCTTCATGTGTCTCATCTGCTGAGTGGCTCTCGTCCATGTCTCTCTTTCTCTATGCCATCTATCCCTCTTGAGCTTTGTTCATGTTATATCGTAGGTGATTTGAGTTAAGAAAAATGTAATTTGACATGCTGCACATCCATAATGAACCATCTGTGGTGGCTGACTGAGAGCCAAGAGAAATCTAGAAATGCACATTTATTTTAGCAATTGAAAGGGGCTTTATAATGTAATGCTAACATTCTCTAAAAAGGGAGATGCAACAAGTGTCCCTTTAGAAACTTAATATCTTCAAAGGGTATTGAGGGATTTAAATAAGAAAAACAAAGGTCCTGAAAGGTTTTGTTCTGAAGGTTTTAAGGGTAAAGAAGAGGGAGGATAAAAAAACACTAAGGGACAGAGTAGAAAGAAGGGAAAGGAACTTGCTAATGCTCATAAGTGGGGTACATCAGAAGAACAGTATACAAACATGGAGGAAGGGGTGTTGGGTGGACATCTGATGAACCACATTCTTATCTGAAATGGACATAGTAGGCTTAAACAAACAAATGTACACACACACATACACAGAGTTGGAGGTGAAAATGTGCAAATTCAATGGGAAAGCAAGCAAGAATGACGGGAGGGGAGTACAGAATCAAGAGGGAGGATAAGAGGGGTGGGGCAATAGCAAAAAAAGCTTCCTGATTCTGAAAGGAGGGTGGTAGAGAGGGGCAGAGGGGAAGGTCTTTAAGAAAAGAACTAAAATTTGAGAATGAGGTTCATCAGTTGGGGAATGGCTGAACAAGTTGTGGTATATGAATGTAATAGTATACTACTGTCATAAGAAATAACAAAAGAAATGATTTCAGAGAATCCTTGGTAGTACTAAATGAATCATCTGAGTGAAGTAAGCAGACATAAAAGAAAAATTTATACAAGGGCAACAACACTGTAAAGAAAAACTTTTGAGTGACCAACCATGTATCACACAGAGGATATATGTTGAAGCATGTTAACCTACCGCCTAACAAAGAGGTGAGGTACTCAAAGTACAGGAAGAGACATATATATATTTGGATATAGCCACTGCATGGATTCGTTTTGCAAGGCAATCATTTTACTCCTCCCTAACTGATTCTCTATCACCCCACAGCAGCTGTTCCAAACCTGTCTCCCTCTCAAGTCTCACATATCACCATCCTCCCCTACCTTCTCAGCAGAGGACTCCAACTCGTACTAGGTTATTCCCAGGGAACTCCCTCTCCCTTACTCTACATTTCAAAAACTCTTGACATCATTTCATATTCTCTCTACTTCTACTCCAAGTCTCTGATAAAAAGGTGGCCTTGCTCCTTGGCAAAGCCAACCCCACTCTATGTACCCTTGGTTCTATCCCCTTCTTTGGCCTCCAGCAGACTGTACCTATAATCATCCCTTCCTCCTCAAATCATCATTATTTCCCTTTCTGTTGATTCATTCGATACTGCCTATAAACGCACCTAGGTATCCCTCTTCTCTTTAAAAAAACAAACAAACAAACAAACAACCTTGCTTTTGCCTAATATTCCCTCGATATATCATTTAGTATCTCTCTTCCCTTTCACAGAAAAGACTAGCTAAACTCATTCGATGGTTTCACTTACTGTTCCCCCCACTTTCTTCCAACCCCTCTGGCTTCCAAGCTCACCAAGAAACTGTTCCCTTCAAAGTTACCAATGAAATCTTTAAAATTTGTTTTAAATTATTATATGACCTTTACTATATGTACATATATATAATACATAATAAAATTAGTATACAAACACACACATATGAACAAGGATTCTTTTATACACAGCTTATTTTTTAAGCATATACTAAATTTATCATGATTCCTCTAACACTGCCCTACTTGTCATCTGTGCAGGAATTTCTCCTAAAATTCCTTCAGCTCTCTTCTATGTATTTTGTTTTTGTGGTTTCACTATACTACCTCCCTTCAAGCCAGCCCACCCACAAAAACAAAAATAAATGCTCTCATGTTACAAATGAGCATAGTCAAGGAAAATAGATTCACACAATTACCACGTCTCAAAATTTATGTTTCTTTCTGCACTTCCAGTCTATCGACTAGCTACCAAGAGTTGAGAAACATGATTCACCATTAGTCTCATGGGATCATTAATTACATCAATCACAGTTCCAAAATCTTTCAGAGTTGTCTCTCTTCCTAACATTTTAGTCATTATATAAATTTTTCTGGTTATGGGAACCTCACTCTGCCTCATTTCATATAAACTCTCCAAAGTTTCTCTGAATCCATCCCCGTTATCATTTCTTACAGCAAAATAATATTCCATAACACCCATATACTACCACATACCATAATTTGTTCATCTATCCCCATTTGGGAGCACCTACTTTATTTACAATTTCTTGCTACAAAAAAAAGTGCTGATAATATTTGTGTACACATGAGTCCTTTTCCTCTTTCTCTGATCTCTTTGGGTTATAAATCTAGCAGTGGTGTCACTGAGTAAACAGAAAGGTATGTTTAGTTTAGTGACTTCTGGGGTCCAGTTCTAAATTGCTTTCTAAAATGACTGGACCAACTGACAGGCCTACAGTTTCCCTAACAATTATAACCCTTTTTGTCATCTTTGACCATCTGATGTGTTTGAAGTTGAACTTCATAGTTGTTTTATTTTGCATTTCTCTTATTAATGATTTAGAGCATTTTTTTTTCACATGGATATTGACAGCTTGACTTTCTTTTGAGAAATGCCTATTCAGTGCCTTTGACACTTTTATCTATTCAGAAATGGCTCTTGTTCCATCATTTCATATGTGTGCATACACATGCATGTATGTATGTATATGTGTGCATGTATGCATGTGTGTATGTATGTACTGGATATCAGACATTTTTATCAGAGACATTTGAATGAAAGATGTTCCCCCTAGTTAACCACCATCTTTCTAATTCTAACTACTGATTTCATTTGTGCAAAAGTTTTTCAATTTTGTATGATCAATATGTCTTTTTTATCTCTCTATCCCCTGCTGGGTCAAGAATTTTTCCCCTATTTATAACTGTGCTCCTCTAATATGTTTATAATGCGACCTTACCTAAGTCATGTATCCATCTGGAGTTTATGGTGTTATATACTATGGGACATTTGTTTCTGAGATTGCTTTCCAACTTTCTCAGCAGTTTTGGTCAAATAGTGAGTCTTTATCCCTAAGGTTTTCAAACATTGTTATATTCAATTGCTTCAGGATCATGGGTAATTAACCTGTCCAAATAATCAACTTTTATGTTAGTTAAGCAGTACCAGATAGTTTCGACGATTACTGCTTTGTAGTTCAGTGTGAGATTGGATACTACTAGACTCCCTTCCTATTTTTTTTTCTCAATATTTTCCTTGAGGTTCTTGATCTTGTTGACCTCAAAATTAGTTTTCTTATAATTCTGTTTACTTCTATATAGTTAGCCTCTGATAATTTGATTGGGATGGCATGGAATTGGTAAATTAGAATAATACTATTATTTTATTATATTGACAAAGTCCAACCATGACCAATTAATATCGCTCCAATTACTTATTTCAGTAGAGTATTTTGAAGTGGTATTCATATAATTCCTATACCTTGGAAAGTGGATTCCCAGATATTTTATCCATCCTATAGATATTTTGAAAGGAATGTCTTTTTTGTTTTTTTAGCTCCTCTTAAGGGATTTTCTTAGTAATATACCAAAAGGCTGGAAATTTACATGGGTTTATTTGGTAACCTAGCACTTCACTAGTCTTAATTAATTTTAAGTGACTCTAGTGTTCTCTAAGTAAAATGATCATATTGACTACAAAAAGTGTTTTTTCTTCTATGTCTATGCTTAGTTTCTCAATTTCTTTTCCTTGTCTTATTGCTAGAGATAGCATTTCAAGAACTCTATAAAATATTACCAGGGACAATGCCATCCTTGCAATATCCTTGATTTTACTGAAAAGGCTTTTAGCCTTTCTTTACTACAAATAATGCTAGTTCTTGGGTTTTGATATATAATATTTATCACAGATCTATAAAATTAAGCAATGGTTCATTTACTCCTACGCTTTTAATGTTTAACATTAATAACATAATGCTTTAACATAAAAAAATCTTTTGTCAAGTCTATTTCTGCATCGACTGATATAAATCATGTCTTTATTATTTTTGTTATTAATATGGTCAATTATACACATATATTTCCTAAGATTAAACCAACTCTGCATGTAAAGTATAAATCCAACCTACTTATAGTACATATTTTTTAAAATATGTTGCTGTAGCCACTTTGCTAACATATTATTTAGCATTTTTATATTGATATTCATTAGAACTATAGTACTATCATTTTCTTTGCTTTACTGATTCCTCATTTATCTATCAAGACTACATTTCTCACAGAATGAATTGGTAGACTCTATTCTTTACAAACAATTTATATAATACTGTAATTGGCTATTCTTTCAATGTTTAAGAGAATTCATTAATAAATGTATCTAGTCCTAGGTTTTTTTTTAAATTTGAGAGTTCCTTTAGGGTTGTTCAATTAATATTTCTAGGATTGGGTTATCAAAATTCTGTATTTCTTGTTCTGTTAATCTAGGTATTTAATATGTTTGTAAAATAATCCAACCACTTCAGTTAGTTATCAATTTTGTCAGCATTTAATTGTGTATAAAAGTTCAAAATTTCCTTTATTTCTTCATTTGTCGTGATTTTTCCTTTTTTATATTGGTGATTTTTAAAACATCAGTTTAGCTATCTATTTATTATTTCTTTTTTGTTTGTTTGTTTTTGCTAGGCAATGGGGTTAAATGACTTGCCCAGGGTCACACAGCCACTAAGTGTCAAGTGTCTGAGGCCAGATTTGAACACAGGTGCTCCTGAATCCAGGGTCAGTGCTTTACTCACTGTGCCACCTAGCTGCCCCCTATTTATTATTTCTTTAAAGCTCCTAGTTTTATTTCAATTGTATTTCTTTTTTATTTTTAGAATTTACATTTTTATACTGAGTTTTAGAAAAAAATTTGTTCATTACCTAGGGGTTTTGTTAGTTGAATGTTCAATTCATTCATCTGTTCTTATAGATCCCCTCCCCTAAGGACTGCTTTGGTTGCATTACAGAAATTTTGGTATGTTAAAACATTATTGCTATTTATCACTGATTAAATTACCCACTGTTGCTATGATTTGTTTTTTGACCCACTAATTCCTTAGGAATATTTAGTCTACATTTAGGTTTGAATCTTTTCTTCAAATACCCTCTAATGACCATTTTCTTGCATCATTGTAAGTAAAACATATGTATAATACTTCTACTTTTTTATATTTTTATGAGATTCTTATGTCTCTGGCATGCAATCTTTTTTTTTTCAAAAGTGTCATATATAGTTGAGAAATACATATATTCTATTTCCATTCAGCTATCACCAGAAATCTATCATATTTAACTTTTCTAAATTTTTATTTAGGTTCTTAACGTCTTATTTATCTTTTTGTTAGACTTGTCTTAATTTTGAAAGAGGCAAACTGATGGCTCCAACTGAGTTTTGCTACTTATTTCTCCCTATAATTTGATTAACTTGTCCTTTAAGTATTGAGATCCTGTCATTTGGTGTACACATATTAAGTAGCAATATTATTTCACTATCTGAAGTTCCCTTAAATATAATGTCATTTTCCTGCTCTCTTAACATACTTATTTCTGCTGTTGCCTTGTCTGAAATGATTGCTACTCTTCCTTTTCTGAATTTGTTTGAAATATTAAGTTTTGCTCCAGCTTTTCATTCTGTATGTTGTGTGTCAAAATTATATTAATTTGTGTGTTTATAACAATAAGTTAGAAATCAAAATCCTACTCAATGTCTCCTCTGGACATGAAAGTGACTCTAAGTTTTCAAGGTTATACTTATAAATGCTAAAAAGCTATAAAGGTTTTGAGTACAAGTCTAGTGATGGATTTAACTGTTAATTATTCTGCTACTATGGGGACCTGAATTCAGAAAGAGTTAATAGCACAAAGTCCACAGGTGATGCATATTTTAGTTATACCCACTCCCAAAGATAATCTAAGAGGTTGGAGTCAGTAAACTACAATTTATTATTTACCTACTACTATGTACCAAGCACCGTGCTAAGCACTGGAGATACAAAAAGAGATAAAAGACAGTCCCTTTTCTCAAGAAGCTCACAGTCTAAAGGTGTGGTAAAGTTACAGAGGGGATGTAATTTGTCAGTGAAGGGAAAATCCATAGTGAGGAAACCACTTACATAACAAGGACCAAAAAAAAGGGAAATAATGAGAGAAGCATACTTCTGCTATACAGGTAAGGTATTAAGTGGATTCAAGATAGAAAGACTCAGAAAAAAACCAAGTTTTATATTTTGGAGTAGGAGAATAAGATTACCCAATGACACTCATGTATAAAGAACTTTGGTCAAAGAACGTGTTTTTCTTTATAATCTTGGAAATGACAATGAAGAGAAAAGGTCAGGAAGGGTATTATTATAGGCAACTGATCAAAATCTGTTTTTTCTTAACTGGTTAAAAAATTAGGCAGTAAATCTGAATAACAATTTCCTACTATTGCCATTAACTTATTTATTCAAATTACAATCCTTAGGAGCAAAGTCCAAACATAACTTCAATTCAGATTTCCAGTAGCTGAGTACTTTTTAAAAGGCCTTTCTAGGCTTAGGTGAGATAATAGTGATGCCCTATTTAAAATATTCCTTTTTAACATGTATAGTCTATACCAGATTGTATGCCATCTTGGGCAGGGGAGGGAGGGAGGGGGGCCCTAGGGAGAAAAAGATCTGGAACTCAAAATCTTATAAAAGTGAATGCTAAAAACTATTTTTACATGTAATTGGAAAAAATAAAATGCTATTAAAATAAATATTAAATAAAATTTACTAAATAAATATTAAAAATGAAATACTATTTAAAAAATAAAATAAAATATTCCTTGAAACTTTTTATCAAGGGTCTTACAACCTGCTATGCAGGCCAAAAACAGGTCCAATGCCTCATCATGAATTAACAGTGATTTATTTGGGGACTCTAACTTCTTTAGAGAATAACTTTAAGTCAGCTCAGTGAGTTACAATAGGATGTTAATGAAATAAAAACCATAATATTCAACTTTGGATATACCAGTTGCTTTACACAAAGAAAAATTGCTCATGACCAAAGCTTGCACCTTTAACTTCATAATAACACTGCGCTCCCACAGTACAGAACAGTTAACAATAAAATCCCAGGAAGATAATGGAAAACTACTTAAAGTCAATTATAGATAATTAAAATCCTGTTAATATAAAAAGGATGTATCACATTGCAGTCCAGTAATTTTACACGTAGGTATGAAAGGCATCTAAGTTTATATCCCAGAAAAGTTGCTACAATTTCCTTGGACTCTTTTCCACCCTTACTCACCAGGCTGGTATGCATCCTTGTTAAATACTATGCTCCTTCAACACCCGTTACTCCTAGTCAGGCATCAATAAAATGATCCATTCGTGATCCCTAACCAAACTGTCTGGTCTTCAACACAGATTCTAATTACAATTGGGAATGAACAATGAAAAAAGTTTTAGAGACTGGGTCATTTACCAGTTTCTAGCAATAACAACAGCATGTTGTTACTAACAGAAAAAAATGTAGTTGAGGTATGTGATATCAATTCTACTTTATTCCAGTTTCCTGTTTTTAGTTCAATTGGCCTGCAGTCACTCCAGGAAAACACTGAATCATTTTAGAAGCCAGATTGGGAAATATTGATTTCTCATTCACACAGGAGAGCAACACTAATAAAGGAATTAGATAAACTAAAAGTTTCCCATCTACCAACATACCTGCCAGCCGTTGATAATCTTCTGATTAAAAATGCCAAATTCGTAACGGATTCCATAACCATAGGCTGCCAGTCCCAATGTAGCCATTGAATCCAGGAAACAAGCTAAAAATGTAAGACAAAAAAAAATTATTATCAATTTATAAATGTCTACAGAAACTAAATTATTATATCTGGCTCCATGTCAAAGTTCAGACACTCAAAAGTAAACTATTTGCTTTCGGAAGGTATTCTTCAAGTAAGGGATATGTGTAACTACAGGGAGGTTGTACAGGAATTACAAAGGCTAAATAGATATTGGTGGCAGCACCTATAGACAAGAATAGGTTAAATTTTACCTCCTTTAGGCCTTAGTCTTCCTACCACCACCCTCCCCCCTGGTTCCTTCCAAACTTGCGTTCTTCACAGGATTTATAATCTAAGGAACTTGCTTCAAATCCCACTTCTGGTTCAGTTTCTTCATATGAAAATAAGCCAGTTAGATCAGGTGACCTTTAAATTTCATTTCAGTTCCATAGCCTATGATCTGTTGCCATACAAGAGGAAGATGAACAATCTGGGGATTCAAAAATAAAAATATTTTGGAACAAATGCTATTGCGTATCATTAGGCGTCGCCTAGCTCCAGAGTCTAAATGACTCAGCCTTTTTCTTGTAGTGCAAAGCAAAATCCAAAACAACTTCCTGGTGTAGATTTAGGGAGAGAAGGTCTTTTTTGCTGAATGGATGAATATCATCAGTATCATTTAGACTTTATATTGTAACTTATCACCCTCTTCAAATTCTAAATGCTATGATCTCTGAATTTTCTACCTAAAAACTTAAGAAACCTTGAATTCAAGAAGGCATGTGACAGTCTTTCATGACACGCTTGTGGTGAGATGGAAAAAATGTGAGCTGACATATATAGTACAGTTGGGTGAATTCTCAACTAGCTGAACAACCATTGCCCCAAACTGCTGATTGGTACACTGTGACCTTAGGCAACCTGACCAAGTTTGTTACTCAAAACATATCTTAGACAGTTACTGCCCACAGACAATAAACATGGACCCAGAACTGATTAGGAAGAGGAGATTAAGCGGGATTACACACAATGATCTCATACCGATCAATGTCACAAAAGCCCATCATTTTAATTTGAATAGACTCCTAATGGTGCTGCATGGCTGCAAATCATGGAATACCACAATCTCAAAAGAAGTATAGTTGCCAAGTGAGCCAAAGGGAAATGCAAGGTTACACATAGTAGATATAAGTAGACTGTGGAGCTGCTACCAATAATGATTTTGCAAGTGATAAGTGATTAAATCATCAACCTCATGTACTACCAGAAAAATTGGTGGTACTTTATATAGTGCAAGAGATAACAGAGGGCAAATCCAAGGGCAGTGCTCAAATTCAAGAGATTTTAAAAGAACAAAAGGAAGGCTTCCAGTCTGTTGGGTGGCTTCTTTATGGAGGATATGTAGGAAAAATAACAGAATCTCAAGGTTGGACAAGTCAAAGAATAAAGAAAAAGATACACAGAATGAAAAGGTGTGGGTAGGCTGTCATCTATACTAAATGAAGAACACATACTATTAAGATCAGAGATCCATTAATGTACTGAGGTTTAGATCAATTTGAAAGGTAGTTTTTAGCCTTTCTTTAGAGCAGGGAATAACTGAAGGAACCCTTGCAAAAGGTGGCACAAGAGCACAATATGTCCTTTCTCATGTCACTCTACAAAAGGAAATGTATTCTTGTATCTTTGGATATTCTTAAGAACCTTAAAGCACAAAACTGAAATCATATCACATTATAGCTGCAATCTCTGTTTCTATTTTCTTAAACTATTCCCACAAAAAGTCATTTTAAATTTTAAAAGATGAGGAAAACTCTGAGCACGCTATCTCAAAGGAAAACAGTATTGAAAGGAAATTGTATCCTTCGAAGGAAAGCTATGGTACCCCAAGACAATTTATTCAATTTATTCACTCAATAAACATTTATTAAGCACCTGTGCCAGGCATTGTGCTAAGTACTTTAAGTATCCGAACCCAGAAGTGTTGGGCTAACATGTAGGAATAGTACAAGATACTATTTCACTCTGTTACAGTAACCAACGGTTAAACTAGGTAAAAGCTGGTGTGAATAGACCTGAATGGTAGGGGAGTCAAGAACAAGTCTAAGGACACAAAGTCTGATGACAATGAACCAAGTGGCTAAATGGAACTGTGAATGCTGTTACTTCATTCCCTTCCCAATCTTTTTTTTGGTAGGGAGATGTGGCGACATTCTAAGGATTAGTGACTTCTCAGCTTGGAATTAGGTTGGACTAGAAAAGAGGAAAAAAGATAATGATGAAAAATTATAACTACTAGTAAGAGGTAAAGGGAACAAGATTTAGAAGGGAACCCATGGATAAACAACATCTGTGTAGAACTAACCTTTGCTCAAAGACAGGAGCACGGGTTATTCTGATATAGGTCCTATACATGAAACACTGACAAAGGTGCTGAATAAATGTGAACCTGTTTATGGCACTTACATGTACACTTTAAAGTCTGGACACTAGTTCGAGATAGTTATATTAAGAAATTGATTCCATAAACCAACTTAACGGAATCTTTGTTTTTTGTTGTTTTTCTAGTCCTATTCCTGACTATAAGTGTACAGATAAAAAGACATCAGCCCAAGCCTAAGCAGGCCCTCACCTCTATACAATTAATAATAAATTGGTGTAATTAGTCAACAAGTATGTTAAATGCTACTCTCTCTTCATCCTCTTTTGCCCATTCAACCAATGGTAATTGTAAAAGAGCCAAACATATAAAACCTTGTCTCCCCATCAATCACTGCCCAAGAATCCTTGAGAAGCAAAGGAAAATGATGAAACAGCATCAGCCTGTCAGAGACAGGACTTTTTCTGCATATAAAATGAAAGCTAGGAAGCTATTTAGCTACTGTCATCCTTGGAATTAGGCCCACACATTGTGCTTCACAGGGGCTGGGTCACTAGCTGAGCTTTGACCGCCCCGTCATCCCTTTCCAGGTGTGGGATGCATGCCTCTGAAGTGGGCCAAGAGCAGGATTCGAATCCGGCCTTGCCGCTTCCCGGCTGGGTTACGTCGGGCCGTTCAAGAACGCTTCTCAAACAAGGAAACATGGAGAAAATAAGCTACAATGTGCTTAGCCTTACCATCTATATTTTATTTGTTTGTATCTCCAAATATCCTTCCATAAACTTGGCTCCTAAAATTTAAGTTTTATGTGTTGGCTATTTTTCATTTTATTGGTGTGGCTACTGATTTGCCACAAATTGCTGATTTTGAAAGCATTTACGTCTAAATGGCCAGACAAGTTAATAGAGGAACTTGATCATCTCTTCTCCCCTAAAAGCCTCTGTGAATTTCCAGGCTAAATTAACATGCTGATGGTTATAAAATGAGAACAAATAGCAAATAAGGCAGGATATTCAGAACTATTAATGAAGTGACAAAAGGGAAGGAGGCCAAGAGGAATAATGGGAAAAGCTGAAAGTGGTTTAATAAATATACAAAGTCCCTAGTTCTGATGCTAAAGGTAATCATGAGTTATGCATGCCCAAGAAGTCCAGTCCCCACAGCTTTTGACCAGAGCTTTATATACTCAACAAAGTACTTAGACAAATACAGGTTTCCACTAAGTTACTCCTCAGCTTTAAGAGGGAAGGTCAAAGAACAACCCTCTAAGCCACCTCCTAAATTTTGCCAGCTATTACTACATGGGTACAGTCTGACACTTAACAGAGATTAGGATTTTGAGAAGAGCCAGTGCTTGACATGGTATGACGGAAGGATTAGCTTTCAAATATAAAGATGAAACTAGTGGCACCCTTAGCATATATTAATTTTTTAAAATTAGTGGCTTTGGGTTTGAGCTCAATCTCTTTCAATCAGTTCTTTGTATAACTAATTTGCAATATTGTCAACCAGCAAAAAATATAGTAACCAGAAAATAAAGATCTTCTCTATGTAAAACTAGTTAAGCATACATGGATTAATTAATCATGATTTTAGCCTCATAAGCCCTATACTCCTCCATTAGACTACTATTCTGATACTTCATTATGGCTTGGGGTGACACTGGGTTCTTGAATGCTAAGTCAACAGAGTGCAAACTCTGGAAAACCCTACCAAGCTGGACAGGCTTCACGTGAGGGCTTAACAAAGGACTTTTTTTCTCTAGTCTGAGAACCAACCTAAATTTGGACAGAACCATGACCACAAGGCTGGCAATTAAGTTTTCAACAACAACATCTTACATAGACTGTCTATTAAGGTGTTAAAAAATTGCAATCTATGTTGGTAGAGGAAGTACCCAGTATGAAATCATGGACCCTTGAAGTAATGAATTAAATCAATCAATAAATACTACTATATGTTATAACCAGCAGAATTAGGGGGTTCATATATAACACTGACAAAAAACCCACAGAAACTTATAATTACCTGCCAGTCTCCCCAATCCTCCATTACCAAGACCTGCATCTTCTTCTATTTCCTCAAGTTCTTCCAAGTCTAATCCCAACTGAAAATAAAGAGAAAGTTAAATTTAATATATAACCAAAAAAGGAAAAGAAGATAATTAATTCTAGTTATTTTAGACCAGAAAGGTCAATGTATTCCTTTCTTAGGTTTTGACTTTTTGTTAAAAATAATCCATCTTAATTTCACAGTCACTGTAAAGTTTCCATAGACATTTCCAAACATCATGGGCATTCAAATCAGGCATGCATTAGTATATAAAAAAAAGTAGCTGGAAGGTTAAGCCATTTATAATAGACAAAACATTATTTTAAAATGAAGCTGGTTTGTCAGATTCTATAGTTTCTTGTCTTCAAATGAACAATGCTAGTTCATACTGCGTCGATGATATACTTTTGTTTAAAAAAGTCAATAAGCTCCAAGCATTTTACCTTTACTATCTCATATGACCTCACACAGATGCAGGTATTACATCCTGCCCATCCCAAAGATAAAGCAACAAAGTCCCAAATTACAAGGTTATGCTCAAAGTTATGGTTGGTCATGGTGTAGAGACTTAGTATTTATTTTTTTCAGTTCAACAAGCCTTTTGTTTTTACACTGTCTATTCTTTGGGACTAAGATTGATTATTACAATTACTCAAGTTCAGCTTCCCTCTAGCACATTCCAGGCAAAGGGGACTGTGCAAAGGCAGGAGACAGGAGATGAACTGTTTTGTATGAGAAATAACAAGTAGGGTGGTTTGGCTGGAAAGAGCAGTGATGTAAAAACAAAAGGCAGTCACAACTTATTTAAAAGAAAAAAAGATTCTGGAAGTGGGGGAGGGGAGGTCAAAGAAAAATAAAGCCAGTGAAAACTGTCTTGCAAAAGCACAAGTCACAAATGAATGGATGTCCTAATTTTTAAAATCTACAACATGCTGACAAACCTCAAAAACAAAAATCACCTCCAAAGATTTCCCAGTACCTCACTCTCAATCCTATTCTCAATGTAGCACAGCATGGTGTATAGGGCCATGGACAGGCAGAAAAGACCTGATTCAAATCCCACCTCATAGATTTAAAAGTTTTGTGACCAAGGATAAGATATAACCTCCATGAGTCTGTTTTCTCACCCATAAAATGAAAATGATAATAGCACCTACCTTAAAGGAAAGTTGAGAGTATAAAAATGAGATAGTGCAAGTAAAGTGTTTAACATACTTTGTTAAATGTAAACTATTATCATTAAACCTGCAATACTTTCCATTTCACTAAACTGATAATGGAACATTTTCTCCTTTTACAAGACCTTTATATCCAATCAATTGTCAAGTCTCAGTCTTAGCATATCTCTAGCATCTTCTCTTGTTCACTGAGCCCTACTCTGGTTCAGGCCCTCATCATCTCTTACTAGGGCTACAGTGTCAGCCTTCTATCCGGTATTAATGCTTCCATTCTTTTACTGGTATTCATAGTTCCAGTTCCTCCAGTCTAAAATCTATCCTTCTCCCCAGAAGCCAAAATATCTTTCCAGAATTATTTCATATTATTCTCCTTCTCAAACTCTACATTCTTGCCAAACTGGTCCACATACTGCTCCCCAAATTTGGCATTCAATCTCAGACAACTGAACAGGCTGGGGACCCTCTCTAGTCGTCTATATCTGGATCCAGATGGCTCCGAAGGAGAAAGTGAGTCTGGTGACTTTTCACAGTCCTTCCTCATTTAAATACAATTCAATTGCAAGCCATGGCATCACCTTCCTGATGTCACTGTCCTCTTCAAGAATGAAAGACAAACAACAACAAATGGACAGGCTGCCCCCACTCTTGGAATAATTTTCTTCTTCACCTCTACCTATTAGAATCCTTTGGGGCTCAGCCCAGATACCAACTAAAAACTTCCCATGATGTTCTAGGTTTTAGTGTTCTCTTTCTCCTCAATTATTTACAGACTTTTTTTAATCCCTCAATTCAATGAAAAGTTTTTCATTCTCATATTTGCACCTCCAGCACCTAGCATAGTTCTTGGCAATAAAGTACTCTTTGTAAATGCTTAAGTATCTTTAACTTCGTGAAAAGCTACATCTTGACTCCTATGCCCTAATTATCAGGTCTTTCAATTTCAAAATTTACAGGGATTCTACCAAAGTCAAAGACCAAGAAAAAGGAAGTAAAAATAAGTTAAGTAGCTCAGGAAGAGAATAATATCTCTCCTAAATGACTTCAAATACTCTGAAGGCAGGGGCTGAATGTATTTGTATGTCCAGCCCCTAACAAAGTATTTAGCATATAACACATGCCTTAAAAATGTTGAGTTTTAAAAATGTAGAGTTGGGGAAAGATCACTAAAAGGAAAGAAAAGGAAAGAATTCTGACTGATGAACTGAAAAACTAATAGTACTTTTTTTAGAGTACAAATATCAGGAAAGACAGGAACCTGACAGAAGAATGCTGCATATGTTGTCAATTGCCTAACTACTTGTTTGTCTTTGTAACAAGGAAGAGTTCAATTGGTGAGAAGAGGGGCAGTATATTTGGAGATGATTGCCATAAAAATAAGTCGGCAAGAAAATTTATTTTAAAAAAATTTCTTGAATTAAATATGCCTATCACTGAAATTAAAGACCATGATGACTTATAAGATGATGTTTTTTATGGCATACATAATCAAACTTTGGGAATTTGTACTCACTATGTATAAAAGCAAATCTAGAATGAAGAAGGATAAAACTTCTAAAGTAGAAATGCTAGTGCTATGTTTAAAAAATACAAGACAAAGTAAAGTAACACTTTGGGAGAGAAAAAAATCTTTGGGGAGATAGGAAAATTGGACATTAAGTTACTTGTTTTTCTAACAACTACATCGAAGATAAAAATAATTTTTTTCTGCTTATACTTTGTTATGTTATGGCAGCAATGGCAATATGTTTTAATGCAAGATATGGTAAAAATCTAATATCATTCAGAAAGCTAATGAGATGCTTTAAACAGAAAAAAATCCTGTGAATTATTGGCGGTATTTTCCAAAGTGAAAATACCTTTAAAGGTAGTGTAATTTTAGCTTGACATTTTCCACATAAAGTTATCTGGAAATAGCATTTATGAGGCAGCACGAAATAATCAAGACTCCAGGTAAGTAAATTAGTGTAAACCCAGAATATGAAAGAATCTGAGCTAAATCTTGAAAACAGAACAATAAAAATACAGAAGGTAAGCAAGAATTGATTGAAGCAAGATTAAATCATAGGACCTAAGCAGATCTCAAAGCAGATCTGTCTGCTGATATTCACTGACATTAATAATAAAAAAAAATTTATATGTGGCCTTATGGTTTCTCATAAAGCATTCACATACATTATCTTGTTTGATCCTCACAACACACGGTAGGCAATGCAAGAATGATTACACCCCTTTTTACAAATAAAGGAACAGGATACAGAGAAGTGAAGCAATATGCTGAAGGTTACAAACCTTGTTAAATGGCAAAGCAGGAGCACAGGGTTCTTTTTACCACACCAATTCGATTTAATTCAATAAATAATTATTAAGCACCTACTATATGTTAGGTACAGTGCTAAGCACTGGGGACACAAAAAGAGACAAAAGACATTCCCTGTTTTCAAGGAGGAGATAATATGCAAACAAATATATATAAAGCAAGTTATATATAGGATAAATAGGAAATAATTAACAGAGGGAAGGCACTAGAATAAGAGGGGTTGGGCAAGGCTTCTTGCAGAAGGTAAGAAGGGAAGTCAGGGAAGTCAGTAGTTGAGTGGAGGAAGGTGAGCATTACTGGCATGAGGAACAGCCAAAGAAAATGCCTGGAGCCAAGAAAAGGAGTGTCTTCTTTGTGGAACAGCAAGGAGGCCAGGGTCACCAATGAGAAGTATGTGTCAGGGAATAAGGTATAAGACAACTGGGAAGGTAAGAGGGAACTAGGTTACGAAGGACTCACAGAGACAAACAGATGTATTTACTCCTGGAAGCAAGAGGAAGCCACTGGAATTTAATGAATAAGGGATGACAAGATCAGACTTGCATTTAAAGAAAATCACTTTGGAGGATGTTTTGGAGTGGGGAGATACTTGAGGCAGGCAGATTCACCAGCAGGCTATTTGCAATATTCTAGGAATGAGGTGATGAGGGCCTGCACCTGGGTAATGGCAGTGCCATTAGAGAGAATGGACACGTTTGAGAGATGTGGCAAAGGCAATCAATGGGCCTTGGCAGCAGCTTGGATATGAGGGGTGAGAGATAACAAGGAATCCAGGATGACTCCTAGGTTTTGAGCCTCAGGGACAGGAAGATAAGGTTGTTTTCTATAGTAACAGGGAAGCTGTATTGGGGGAGGGGGACAGGAGAAGAATTTAGGGGAAAGATAATGAGTTTTGATTTGGACATTTCCCATCAATCAGCAAGCCAAAGAAAGAAAATACTTCTCTGTACCAATAATTTGCTAATCCCTGTCTCTGCAAAATAGAAAGGCAAGCTCAATCCAGTGGAAAGTACCCCCAATTAAGGGTCAGAGGATCTAGGCTCACTATCTGGCTTACTACTGGGCAAGTCATTAGGCTCTGTGGATTTTTTGTTTCTTCATCCATAATGGCAGAGGCAAGAATTAGATGACTTCTACAATCCCTTCTGACTCTATATCTAAGATACTCTGACTGCAGGATCTCTAATACACAAGAAAAGGTGATGTGCTGGGTCAATCATTCCCTACCAGTTCTTAATTAGAGAACAAAAAGTATCCTCCCAAGACTCTAGACTCTGAACTCCTGCTCCTTCTCCAGCATATTCTACACTTCTCTGAAAACCCTGACTGGAAGCAGTCTTTAATTTCCTTGTAAACACAGGCCATGATGGAGGAAGGCCGAGAAGGGGGATGTAGTACAGCTGTGGGAGTTGGGGGGAAAGCTGCAGGTTTTTCACACTTGGGAAGAATTATGGCAGATAAAGCAATGGACTTGAAGTCAGGGAAGTCGTGGGTTCCAAAAGTTTTACAATCATGGATAAATAACTTAATTTCAGTTTTCTTATCTGTAAAATGGGATGACATACTAACAATTTCAATGAACTGCAGTGAAGAAAGAGCTTTATTAAGCACTTTATCAATTTATTAGTATTATAAAAAAGGAGGGCAACAGGAAGACTTCCCTCCCCCATATATACACACATAGACACCAATACCACTACCCTCTCCCCCAAAAAAATCTGCTCTGCAGATTTTTTCAAGTAGGAATCAACTGGGATCTAAAAGAAAAAACTCAACTGGGGTTTACAATATATGATTTTGAAATTTAAATGTTCCCTAAGAGAGTTATTCCTAATTCACAGCTATAAGTCCTGCAAGAATAGGTTTCATATAGGTTGAGAAGAGGGAAGTAACATTTTGGGGCTACAGCAAAAATCTGGGTGGGATCTGAGATTAAGGACAGTCAGAAGTCAGGATAAACATATCTATATTATCCATATTCACTGTGCTTACATTAGAATATATTGTCATCGCTACCATCCTTGATATCTATGGAGCAAGAGCCAAAGACAGGCAGAAAAGGGGGTTTGAAGAGGGACACTGCAGGGGCAGCTAGATGGCCCAGTGGATAGAGCACCGGCTCTGGAGTCAGGAGGACCTGAATTCAAATCCAGCCTCAGACACATAACACTTACTAGCTGTGTGGCCCTGGGGAAGTCACTCAAACCCAGTGCCTAGCAAAAAACAAAACAAAACAAAAACCAAAATAAAATAAAATAAAATAAAAAATAAAATAAAATAAAATCCTTTTGGGGCAGCTGGGTGGAACAGTGGATAGAGCACCGGCCCTCAAGTCAGGAGGACCTGAGTTCAAATTCGGCCTCAGACCAAATACTTAACATTTACTAGCTGTGTGACTCTGGGCAAGTCACTTAACCCCAATTGCCTAAAAATAAAAATAAATAAATAAATGAACAGGGACATTGCCCTCCTACCCTTCTTTGGTAGAGGATAGGGTATGGAATATTGCACAAAACATCAGACTTTTCTGATATGTTAGAGGAATTTTGAGGAATTTTTTCTTTTTTACTTTTTTATTCTTTATATATATATATATGTGTGTGTGTGTATGTGTGTATATATATATATATATATTTTGGGGGGGGGGGCTAGGCAATGGGGTTAAGTGACTTGCCCAGGGTCACACTACTAGTAAGTGTTATGTATCTGAGGCCAGATCTGAACTCAGGTCTTCCTGAATCCAGGGCTGGTGCTCTATCCACTGTGCCACCTAGCTGCCCCTATTCTTTATTATATAGTAAGAAATATGTGTGTAAAAATAAAAAATATAAACAGAAAAGATATATAAGATATATTTTATAAAAAAGGAAGATGGCAGAAACTTTCCCTACTTCAAAACTCTGCCTAGAGATCCAATTAAGTGCCAATGTCTGATTTTAAATATCAGAACTCTTTTAGAAGTCTATAAACCTAAGTCTTTCTCAATTCAACATTTCCTAGGCCAATCCAATCCATTATCTTGGTCACCCAAATCCACCCTTCTATCACAGAAAAAAGAATCCTATGTCTATGTCTCACTCAGCCTTCATTCCTCTTCTTTTTTACAATCAGTACAATATTTGGTTTGGGTATTTCCACATTTCCAGAAGAACCTAGATGTATGCTACTGAGGACGAGAACGACTCTGCCTGAAAAACAACATACCTGATAAATAGCTTCATCACAAGCATTCTGGAGACCCAAATTCACCATTGTATTCTGTAGAGTCCGGCCCATGTAGAATTCCAGGGAAAGATAATAAATGCGCTGGGGAAACAGAAAGAAAGTTGTGTTTATTTTAATCCTTATACCTAGAAGCCCTATGAGTCTTAATTATTTACTTTGATAATATGATTTCCATGTGAAAATTCAATTGGATTTCTGTGACTATTTGAGTTCCTCTTATTATGTTTAGGGAACTAAAAGGGATATAAAAATGACTAATAATACTTGCCCTTGTGAGTTTAATTCAGTTGTATGTGATGGTGAGGTGTTTTGGTTTTTTTTTTGGAGGGGGGAAGGAGGGAAGATGTATATGTATATGTATGTGTGTGTGTGTGTGTATGTGTGTATATGTATGTATGTATGTATACACACACACACACACACGCCTCCCCCAAAAGTAGAATTATACTCAAATATTCACAGAGGTACAAAATAATGTGACAGTTTGAAAGAAAAAAAGGAGGTGTCTCTGAGGCAAGGGTTTAGAATAAGATCCAAAAGAGAAGGCTACCAAAAAAGTGTAGCATCTGTGATCAGCTTGGAGAATGATTTTGGAAGGAAATGGCCAGGAGTTTAATCTGGAGGCTGTTTCAGTGGTTCAAATCGATCAATCAATCAATCAATATTTATTAAGCAACTACTATGTGCCAAGTATTGTGCTGAGCACTGGGGATACAAAAAGAGGCAAAAGACAGTCTCTGCCTTCCAGAAGCATACAATCTAATGGTGTGCACAATATGCAAATACGCAAATACACACACACACACACAGAGCAGACTATATAGAGGATAAGCAGGAAATAATTAATGGAAGGAAGGCACTAGAATTTAGAGTGATTTGGAAAAGCTTCCTGTACAGATAAGATTTTAGTTAGGACTTAAAGGAAGCGAGGGAAATCACTAGGCAGAGTTGGGGAGGGAGAACATTTCAGGCATGGGGGACAGCCAGAGAAAATGTCCAGAGCTGAGGGATGAAGGGTCTTATTCATGGAATAGCCAGCAGGCCCGTATCATTGGACTGAAGAATATGTGTCAGGGAGTAAGGTATAGGAAAACTGGAAAGGTAGGAGGGGCTAGGTTATGCAAGACTTTGAATGCAAAACAGAGATTTCTATATCTGATAAGGAGTCAACTGAATTTATTGATTGGGGGGTGGGGGAGAGGGAGGATTTGACATTTTCAGACATGAGCTTTAGGAAATTGCCTTTGGTGGCTGAATGGAGAAGGGTGAAAACTGAGGTGAGCTGACTCATCGGCAGGCTACTTGCAATAGTTCAGGCATGAGGTGATGAAAGCCAGCACTGGAGCGGTAGCAATGTCAGAGGAGAGGAAAAACAGATTTGAGAGATGTTGCAAAGGTGAAATCAACCGGCCTTGGCAACAGCTCGGATACGGGGAGTGAGAGATCAGGAATCCAGGACGACTCCTTGGTTGTGAACCTGAGGCACTGGGAGGATGGTGTTGCCCTCAACAGCAACATAGAAAGTGTTGGGGTGGGGGGTGGGGAGTTAGGGGGAATGATAATGAGTTCACTTTGGACATGTCTAAGATATCTACTGGATGTCCAGTTTGAGATGTGTGAAAGGCAACTGGAGATGTGAGACTAGAAGTCAGCAGAGAGGCTGGGCAGGATAGGTATATTTGAGAATCGCCAGCATGGAGAAGACATAACCAAGAATGGAGGGAAAAGAGACAACAGAGCACTGAGGGACACTTTCAGTTAGAGGGCATGCTCTGGATGAGGATCCAGCAAAGGACACTAAGCAGTAGTAGTCAGATATGTAGGAGGTGAACTAGGAGAGGGTGGTGTCCCAGAAAACTCAAGAAGAAGCGAGTATCAAGGAAGAGAGGGTGATCAACAGAGTCAAAGCTGCAGAGTCAAGGAGAACGATGACTAACAAAAGGCCCCTAGGTTTGGCGACTAAGAGATCAATGGTAACTTTGGAGAGAGTGGTTTTGTGTGGAATGATAAGGTTGGAAACTGACCTTAAAGGGTTAAGGGTCAGAAGAAAGTGAAAGGAGAAAAAATGGAGGCACCTATTGTAGATGGCCTTTTCAAGGAGTTTAACTACAATGAGCAGAAGAGATACAGAATAATAGTTAGCAGGGATGGAAGGCTCAATTGCTGTACAGTAGTTTCTGACTCTGTGATCCCATCTGGGGTTTTCTTGGCAAGAATACTGGGGTCGTCTGTCATGTTCTTCTCTAGCTAATTTTACAGATGAGGAGCTGAGGCAAATAGGGTTAAGCAACTCACCCAGGATCAGACGCTAGTAAGTGTCTGAGGCAGGATTTGAACTTAGGTCTTCCTGACGCCAGGGCTGGTGCTCTACCCACTGTGCTACCCAGCTGCCCCATGGAAGGATCAAGGGAAGGTTTTTCAGGGCAGGAGAGACTTAGGCATGTTTGTAGGCAGCAGGGAATCAGTCAATAGAGAGGAAGAGATTAAAGATAAGTCATAAAGTAAGGACAACAGAGGGAGAAATCTGTTGGAGAGGATGGGATGGAATGGAATGGATTGAGCAGGGAGAAGAATTAGTGTGAATAAGGAGAGAGGCCACTTCATTATGTGATTCAGGAATGGAGGAGGAGATAGTGGGACCCAGAAGTGGGAAGCTCACGACAAATTTGCCTCAATAAGATATCAGGCGAGATGACTTCACACATCTAACAGATATCACATTGCTTGCCTTCTCAATGGGTAGAGGAAGCACAGGAGAGACGAAGAGAATTTGAAGCTCAAAAGTTTTTAAAATAATGTTAAAATTAATACAGAGTTAAAAGGAAAAAAAGATATGAGGTAAGGTTCTCAGCTGAGAGGGTGAGTGGAAGGGCAGCATTTCAGAGGTATGAGGAAGGAAGAAAAAGTTTGAAAGAGTTGCTACAGAGAGCAGGATAGTGAGTTGACAAGGGAGGTATAGTAGGATTGCCTTGCAACAGTGAGGGCCCAGTTGAGGCTATACAACATAAATTTGTAGTGGACCCAGTCAGAACAGTTGCATGATTTTCTCCACCTTCATTCTGCAATGCATCTGTGTAGGAGAGAAGATGGTAAATGGTGAGAGTGATCAAAGGCTGAGGCTTGGCAAGCAGGAGGTGATGAGGGCCTGAATAAGACTGATAGCCATGTAAGTGGAGAGTGGACATTGGATGTTAGAGATGTTTTGGAAGTAATATGCAGGCCTTGAATGATGGGTAGAATTTCAAAAGGGAAGAAATGGAGGTTGAGGGATTAGAAAGAGACAGAGCCAGAAGGAAAAGAATTTGGTTGGAGCATAGGATCATAGATTTAGAGTTGGAAGGGACCTTCGGAATTAATGAATCTAAGCCATTAACCCCTACTTTGGAGATTAAACAGAGGCCCTTGAGAGATTAAGTGATCTGACCTATATTATACAGGTAAAAAGTTTCTGAGGCAGAATTTGAAACCAGATCCTCCTGATATCAAATCCAATGCCCTTACTACAGCACACTGTCTCTCAACCCATTCAATGCTGTCTCAACTAGGGTGATTTGTGTCCCTCTCTTTCCAAAAAGTTTTTACAGAAAACTAACCACAAACCCTAGAGACCTTCATCTTTTTATTTTCATCTTTAGGGCACATGAAAAAGAGCAGTAAGAAATAGTAAAAAAAAAGTAAGTAGTAAGTAGATAAGGCTAGAAAGGTAGGTTGGAGTCAGAAATGTCAATTAAGATTTTTCAGTTCACCATGGGAATCACTGAAGGCTTTTGAGAAGTTATAGATACCCTTGAAATTATATAGGATAGAGTGGAGAGGGAGAGACAGGCTGCTGCGGATAAGTCAAGAAAGATGAAAACTGAGAAACGACCATTGTACTTAGCATTCAGAAGGTGATCAGCGACTCTTAAGAAAGGAAGCCCAGTAAAGCAGTGAAGATAGAAGCTAGATTTCAAGGGGCTGAAGAGAATAGGCGGTAACAAGTAGAGGCAACAGGTACAGAATACTTTTTCAAGAAATTTGGTGGGAAAAGGGAGAACAAAGATATATGACAGGACCATAGCTGATGAAGTAAGAAAGGTCAATGGAAACCAGCAGAAAGCTAGGGCCTAAAGATGAAGGAGGACTGAAGAAGATACAGACAGTTCTCGCTTTACATAAATGGACAGTTCAGCAGAAAGTGATTTTATGCAATGCGATTTTGCCTGTGGGGAAGGAAACTGAGAAGAGAGGAAGGAAGGGGGCCAGCACACAATTCGAGGACATGTAGGGGCTGGAAACAGAAACTAGAGCAGCAGGAGTGGGGGAACACTCAGGGCTTAGGACCAGTCATGTGGGGCCTGGCCAGAACTAAGAGGAAGAACATCCAAGAAGCAGACACATGGGAGCCAGATATGGACACAGACAAGAGAGGACCCAGTAGCTGAAAGCAGAAGACAGACCTACAGGCAGATGGGTGGGTGGATGCGTGGAACAGGACAAAGGTCTCTTCTCTCTGCAGCAGAGGTCTCAAGTCATCAAGCCACCCCTAACCCCCCCCCCCCATACTCCCATGGCTGTCTCTCTACATGCCTATTCTTCTGCTTTCTTTTTGAGGTTTTTTTTTTTTAGGAGGGGGGAAAGCTGAGGAGAGAGCACAATATTGTAAAGTTAACATAGGTGTTTTTTTAGAATACAGATTTTCTTTCAGAATTCTTTACATAAAGTCAAATCTGCATGATGTGAATTTATGTAAAGCAAGAATTGTCTATTTATGAGAGATAGTACAAATGCTGGAGCAATGTCCCGAAGAATGCAATCAAAGAAGTTTTGTTTTTTTTCCATCTGATTTGGAAGAAGAAATAATGAGTGATGGACTGAGGTATTTTGAGGCATGTAGGAAGAGAGCAAGAAAGCTCGTGTGTATGTGTGTGTGTGTGTGTGTGTGTGTGTGTGTCTTATGTATGTATATATGTATATATACATGACCTTCCTTACTCTTTTCCTACATGCCTCAAAATACCTCAGTCCATGTGGGGGCCTGGCCCCCACATATATGTGTGTGTGTATAATACCCCATATTGCCTGAGTGAAGTAGGGCACTA